TTGGGAACTGGTAACGCACTCCACTGTTCTTGCCTGGGAAATAACCTACATTCCATGAGGGCTATATGCCATGGGGTCGCAAAAGAATTGGACATGACTTAGGGACTTAAACATTTTTTTTCCAGACTCTTCCCATATAGGTTATTAAAAAATATTAATATAGTTCCCTGTACTATAGAGTAGATTTTGTTATATATTTTTGTTTGTTTTGTTGGTGTTTTTGGCCTCACTGCACGGCAACATGTGCACATTAATTCCACATCGACAAGGGATTGAACCCACACACCCTGCAGTGTAAGTGCAGAGTTTTAAACCACTAGACTGCCATTTATGTGAAATGTTCAGACTAGACAGCAGGAGAGAAAGCAGTGATTAAAAATATTCTAAAATTTTATGATGGTTACACAACAGTAGATATACTCCAAACCATTGACTTGTATACTTTAAAGAGGTGAATGTTGTGAGTTACATCTCATAGCTTTTTAAAAAAATGTCAGGTATCAGGACAGCCCAGAGGTCAGTTGTTAAGGCCAAATGTCCATCATGGGTTAATTCTGCAGTCTGTCTTTGATCCACACACACCACAAGGCAGTTACTACACAAGTTACTAGTTCCTTGCCCTAGTAGAAATCTGCACAATTGAGAGATCTCAGTTTATCTAAATAGGCTGATACTAGGTGAGGTGTGTGAATGTGTGTATGGCTTGTGAATTAAAGTGACTTGAGGCAGAACCACCTGTGTAGCAGGCCCAGGCTGGCTTTCAGGTATGTGAGTGGGGAGAGGAAGGAAGGTGTCCGGGTTTTCTGTTATTTAGTCACCAAGTCATGTCTGATACTTTGCAACCCCATGGACTATAGCACACCAGGCTTCCCTGTGCTGCTCTATTTTCTGGAGTTTGCTCTAACGCTTATGTCCATTGAGTTGGCAATGCTGTCCAACCATCTCTTCCTCTGTCACCCCCTTCTCCTGTCCTCAATCTTTCCCAGTATCAGAGTCTTTTCTGATGAGTTTGCTCTCCACATAAAATCACCTGTGACCATTTCATGTGGCCTGGGTTTCTTTGCAGCAGGCACTGGGTTCCACGAATGAGTAGCCTAAGGGAAACAGATGGAAGCCTTATCTTTAATAGGACTCAGCTTTGGAATTCATGTAATGTCATTTCTGTAGTCACTGGCTCACCCACAGACCCCAATGCTAGGTGAGAGGAGTGTCACTGTTGTGGTAGGAAGAGAATGTGAGACGGAAGTTGTGGTCATCTTTGGAAAATACTGTATTTTTATATGATAGTGTGTATAGTTCAGTCTCTCAGTCATGTCCAACTCTTTGGGACCCCATGGACTACAACACGCCAGGCCTCCCAGTCCATCACCAACTCCTGGAGTTTACTAAAACTCATGTCCATTGAGTTGGTGATGCCATCCAACCATCTCATCCTCTGATGTCCCCTTCTCCTCCTGCCCTCAATCTTTCCCAGCATCAGGGTCTTTTCCAGTGAGTCAGTTTTTCACATCAGGTGGCCAAAGTATTGGAGTTTCAGCTTCAACATCAGTCCTTCCAGTGAATATTCAGGACTGATTTTCTTTAGGATGGACTGGTTGGATCTCCTTGCAGTCCAAGGGACTCTCAAGAGTCTTCACCACCACAGTTCAAAAGCATCAATTCTTTGGCACTCAGCTTTCTTTATAGTCCAACTCTCACATCCATGCATGACTATTAGAAAAACCATAACTTTGACTAGGTAGACCTTTGTTGGCAAAGTAATGTCTCTGCTTTTTAATATGCTGTCTAGGTTGGTCATAATCTTTTAATTTCATGACTGCAGATGTAGATGTTTTTCTGGAACTCTCTTGCTTTTTTGATGATCCAGCGGATGCTGGCAATTTGATCTCTGGTTCCTCTGCCTTTTCTAAATCAGTTTGAACATCTGGAAGTTCATGGTTCACATACTGTTGAAGCCTGGCCTGGAGAATTTTGAGCATTACTTTACTAGTGTGTGAGATGAGTGGAATTGTGCAGTAGTTTGAACATTCTTTAGCATTGCCTTTCTTTGGGATCGGAATGAAAACTGACCTTTTCCAGTCCTGTGGCCACTGCTGAGTTTTCCAAATTCAGTGTGTATATGTTACTCCCAAATTCTTAATTTATCCTCCTCCAGCCCTTCCCATTTGGTAATCATGTTTGTTTTCGATCTATGGGCCTATTTCTGTTTTGTATGTAAATTCATTTGTATTACTTTTTAGATTCCACATATAAGTGATAATCATACATGTCTTTGGCTTAGTATTATAATCTTTAGGTTCATCTATGTTGCTGCAAATGGCGTTGTTCCTTTTGTATGACTAATATTCTGTTGTGTATATACACCACATCTTCATCCATTCATCTTTTGATAGTCATTTACATTGCTTCCATTTCTTGTCTATTGTAAATAGTGTTATGAACTTAGGGGTGCGTGTGTTTTTTTAAGATACAGTTTTCTCCAGATATATACCCAGAAGTGGGGTTGCTGGATCATATGGCACCTATAGTTTTTTTTTTTTTTAAAGGAGCTTCCATACTGTTCTACATAGTGGCTGCATCAATCTACATTCCTACCAGTAATGTAGGTGTGTTCCCTGTTCTCCACACCCTCTCCAGCATTTATTATTATTTTAATAATTTTTGATGATGACCATTCTGACTGGTATGAAGTGATACCTTATGGTAGTTTTGATTTGCACTTCTCTAATAATTAGTAATGTTGAGTATCTTTTCACGTGCTTATTGCCTGTCTGTATGTCTTTGGAGAAATGTCTCTTTAGGGCCCTAGTTCATTTGTTGACTGGGTTGTTGGATTTTCTTTTTTTAATATTGAGCCCTACAGCTGTTTCTTAACCTAGATTCTTTCCATGCCATTCTCCCTCCCAGTTTATAGCTTTAGAGTGTTTTCACCAAAATTAAACATGACCGTGGATGCATTAAAAGACTGGTTTCTTAACCTAGAGGGTACTTTTATTAAAAGGTGACCCAAGAGATAATCACCCAAATTTCGTACTTTCCTAAACTGATACATTTGACTAGATCATCAGAGTGCTGTAAATGGATAAAAGCTGTCCTTTTCATCATGTAGCCAATGGGTACAATACTATCTCTTAAGACTGCTGTGAGGGTGAAAAATTGCCAATAAAAGGTAACTTTTATCATCATTACAGTCATTTGGAAGATCACAGTTGCTTTGAGCAATACCACTCTACTTTTCTGGACTTCCCTGGTAGCTCAGCTGGTAAAGAATCCACCTGCAATGCAGAAGACACGGTTTTGACTCCTGGGTTGGGAAGATCCCCTGGAGAGTGGAGAGTGGCCACCCACTCCAGTGTTCTTGGGCTTCTCTGGTGGCTCAGATGGCAAAAAAAAAATCTGCCTGCATGCAGGAGGCCTGGGTTTGATCCCTGGGTTGGGAAGATCCTGTGGAGGAGGGCATGGCAACAAACTCTAGTATTCTTGCCTGGATAATTCCCATGGACACAGAAGCCTGGTGGGATAAAGTCCATGGAGTCACAAAGAGTCGGACAGAACTGAGTGACAGCGCAGCACATGTACTTCTGGATTATTCTAAACATTACCTGATTTTTTAATATGATTCCATTTACATGGAATATCCAGAATAGGCAAATGCATAGAGACAAAATTGATTTTTTTAAAAACTACCTTTGGCTGTGCTGGGTCTTGAGTTCCAGAAAAACATCTTCTGCTTTATTGACTATGCCAAAGCCTTTGACTGTATGGATCACAACATACGGTGGAAAATTCTTAAAGAGATGGAAATACGAGATCACCTGGCCTGTCTCCTGAGAACTCTGTATGCAGGTCAAGAAGCAACAGTTAGAACACAACATTGAACAATGGACTGGTTCCAAATTGGGAAAGGAGTATGTCAGGGCTGTGTATTGTCACCCTGCTTGTTTAACTTTCGCAGAATACATCATACGAGATGCCAGGCTGGATGAAGCACAGCTGGAATCAAAATTGCTGGGAGAAATATCAGTAACAGATATGCAGATGACAGCCACCCTTATGGCAGAAAGCAAAGAGGAACTAAAGAGCCTCTTGATGAAAGTGAATGAGGAGAGTGAAAAAGCTGGCTTAAAACTCAACATTCAGAAAACTAAGATCATGGCATCTGGTCCCATCACTTCATGGCAAATGGATGGGGAAACAATGGAAACAGTGATGACTATTTTTTGGGGCTCCAAAATCACTGCACATGGTGACTGCAGCCATGAAATTAAAAGGCGCTTGCTCCTTGCAAGAAAAGCTATGGCCAACCTAGACAGCATATTAAGTAGAGACATTACTTGGTAACAAAGGTTCATTTAGTCAAAGTTACGGTTTTTCCAATAGTCAGTATGGATGTGAAAGTTGGACTATAAAGAAAGCTGAGCACTGAAGAATTGATGCTTTTGAACTGTGGTGTTGGAGAAGACTCTTGAGAGTCCCTTGGACTGCAAGGAGATCCAGCCAGTCCATCCTAAAGGAAATCAGTCCTGGGTGTTCATTGGAAGGACTGTTACTGAAGCTCCAATACTTTGGCCATCTGATGTGAAGAATGGACTCATTGGAAAAGACCCTGATGCTGGGAAAGATTGAAGGCAGGAGAAGGGGTTGACACAGGATGAGATGGTTGGATGGCATCACCGACTCGATGGATATGAGTTTGAGCAAGCTCTGGGAGTTGGTGATGGACAGGGAAGTTTGGTGTGCTGCAGTCCATGGGGTCGCAGAGTTGGACACGACTGAGTGACTGAACTGAACGCTTTGTTGCTTTTTTGTCATTTGTGTTTCCTCTGGTGTTGAGCAGGGGCCACTCTAAATTGAGGTGTGTGGACTTCTCAGTGCAGTGGCTTCTCTCGTTGCAGAGCACAGGCTCTAGGCACGTGGGGTTCAGTGGTTACGGCTCACAGGCTCAATAGCTGCTGCTCTTGGGCTCTAGAGCATGGGCTCTGTGGTTGTGGTGTAAGGGCTTAGTTGCTCCATGACACATGGAAGCTTCTCAGATCAGGGACTGAACCCATGTCTCCTGCGTTGGTAGGTGGATTCTTACCCACTGCATCACCCAGGTAAGTCCCAAAGTTAACTGATGCTTGCCAGAGACTGGTGAAGGGGGACCAGGGAGTGATCTTTAGTTCAGGCTTTCTTAGGTGGGGTGATGAAAATGTTCTGGAAGTAAACAGTGATGGTAGTTTTGTGACCTTGCAAATGAATATACTAGAAACCACTGAAGTGTACATTTTAAAAGGGTAAACTATTTTGTAAAAAAACATGTATATATATATGTACATATATATGTGTATATATAAAATGGCAGAAAACAAGAGCGACAGCCAAGGGTCAGAGTCCTGCTGTTACTATGCACCATTCCTGGCCCTGCCTATGTTTGAGCACAGTCAAGGGACCCCTGACCTCACTCTCACTGACCTGCCATGAGAACTGATGTTTTTAAACATAAATAATATTTTAGGAAGATCTCTTTTAAGTTATACTGCATTGTTTTTTAACAGATAAACCTTCATTTTGGAGTAACTTTAGATTTATAGAAAAGTTGCAAAGATAAGTAAAAGCTCTCATATACCCCTTTACCTCTTGTTTCTCCTCATGTTATCATCCTGCATTACCATAAAACATTTATCAAAACTAAGAAGCCAACATTAGTCTCTAGACTTTATTCAGATTTTGCCAGTTTTTTTCAAATGGTCTTTTTATCTGTCTCAGGACACAACCCAAGACACCATTGTGTGATTAACTTTAAAAACTCAAATGTTGGGAGTTGACATTTACATCTCTGCTATACTTTATCATTTTGTTGAGATAATTTTGGATTTGGAGCCATGTTAAATAATGTGGGCTCTGTCATTTATACATCTAGTATTTTATGTTTCTGTAGTTTTACTTTAATTATTGTTAAGTACTGAGCAAAACAGAAACAAAGTCCAGAAACAGGGAACTTGGTATTACATTAGAGAACTGCTCGACTTTGGTCTCACCAGCTGCAAATTCACCTAATAATACAATAACCTGTGCCATACTTTACCATTTTAATCACAGGGTTACCATAGTGGAAATTTTATCAAATGTTTGGTTAAAGAAAGGTGAAGTAGGTGAAAGCTTTAAATTGATTTGGCCTTTTTGAGCAGACAAAAAATGGAAATCTGCAGAATTTATAGTTTCTATTTTAACCAGTCACACTTTCCCTAGAAGAGTTCAGGTAGTTTTGGGTTTTGGTCAAAGTTAATGACATATGCAGTCTGGATACTGCCTTTAACACTGTCTCTTTTGATACATTGTGTAAAATGTAGGTTATTGCTTACTTAAAGCCAAATCAATTTTAAAACAGAATCAAAAGTAGGTAGTTTATTTTAGAGTAACTGGCAGCAAAAACCAAGCCAAGAGAGCGTGGTATGATCATGCACGTGTGGTTAAACAACGGATGGCTAATATAAAAAATAACAACTAAAAACCCGAAAATATTCCACTTGGTTGAGTTTTCAGTAAAATCATGTGGTTGAGAGAATACACTAGTTGGTGTTGCACTAACCGTAGGGTTGCCACAAAAGGAGTTTGAGTTCTAGTGCTGTCTGGAGGAACTCAAGGTGGGGATGTGGTCTTCTCAGCCTGCTGGTGAAGCCATCTGCAAAATTTTCTGAGACTTGGGTTGTAACCTTTCAGGTGTAAGGACTGCAGCTATGGCATTGCAGCAAAGGAAGGAGCTGATCTAGACTTGACCGGTAGCCCCCCTCTTTTAACTGTTGTCATACTTTCTGACTGACCTTTGGACTTCTCTGTTTAGCCTCTTATAGGGTTCTGTGTAGGAACTGGCAACTCAGTAAATGTCTGAGAATTGAGGTGGTTTTTATCCAGTCATGGTTGGATATAAAAAACATTTTCCCGTACTAACTCTTTGAGTCTAGGGGCTGCATCTCTTGGAACTCAATTCCTCATATTTTATATAACTGCTTATAGGTTTTTTTTCTTCAAAGCTCTGATACCTGTCTCTGCAGTGTTAAATTGCCCCCCTTGAGGTTTTTCTGTGTAAAATTGGAAATAAAATCAGTTAAGTTTCATTGTTTGAAACACCGCATGCTTGCACACACATACATAGTCTGATCTTGTATTATATACAGTACAGTCTAGAAATGTTTTAAATTTATGCAGTGTGTTTTTATGTATATTTATGCATTTTAAAATTTCAATTTCCCATGTATTAAGAAGGTATAGACTGGACTTCCCTGGTGATCAAGTGGTTAGGAATCTGCCATGTAGTGCAGGGGACATGGGTTCTATCCTTGGTCCAGGAAGATTACACGTGCCGCCTGTGAGCTACAACTACTGAAGCCTCTGTACCCTAGGGTCTGTGCTCTGCAACAAGAGAAGCCAGTACAATGAGAGGCCTGCACACCGAAACTAGAAAAAGCCTGCGTGCAGCAATGAAGACCCAGTGTAGCCAAAAATAAATGTTTGAAAATTTATAAAAGGGTACAGACTAACTCTAAAAGAGAATTAAAAGAAAAACCAATGTAAGACTAAAAATGAATTAATCATGAGGCACTGCATTTTAAAAAAAAGCATAACTCCATAAATGCATAGTATGAAGTGGTCTGCAAAGAGTGGGAACTGAAGGGTAAGCCAAAACAGACTTTACCCTGTATTGTTTAAGAGGGAGGAAGAAACACTTATCCGGTGGAGGACCTTTCCTGGGAGGAAAAAACCTACTTAAAGTGACAGGCATTGTAAAGTCAGAATACCTGAGATCCACGCTCAATAGCAACTTGGAATTACATTTAAATCACATCACTTAATCAGGTACAGCATAGGGAGAGACCAATGTCTTGTTTTTAAAAGCTTTTTAGAAAAATTTGAGGAATGTATGTGTGTGTGTGCTCAGTCAGCCATGTCCAACTTTTGTGACCCCGTGCACGGTAGCCCACCATGCTCTTCTGTTCGTGGAATTTTCCAGGCGAGAATACTGGAGGCAGGTTGCCATTTCCTATATGGAAAAGATATGCCTCTTTAAAGTTTATGAAATACAATTTGTATATAAATTACTGAAACAAAAGTATTGGAGCACTTGCTGCATATGACAGACTAATTTCATGACCTGATAATGAATTGCAGACAGCAGTTATAAAAATGTCAGTTTAGCTCAGTGACAGTCAAAAGTGAGGTTTCTAGATTAAAATAGCTGCATATTTTTCTTTATGGCTTAAAAACATAGGACCTCAGGGCTTCCCAGGTGTCTCAGTGGTAAAGAATTCGCCTGTCAATGCAGGACACAGGTTCGATCCCTGGTCTGGGAAGATTCCGCATGCAGCGGAGCATATGCGCCCATGCGCCACGACCACACCTGCCGAAGCCTGTGCGCCACAGCAAGAGAAACCACCGCAGTAAGAAGCCCGAGTACCGCAACGAGACAGTAGCTCCCACTCCCCGAAACTAGAGAAAAGCCAGCGTAGTAACGAAGGCCCAGCACAGCCAAAAGATAAGTAAATAAAGCAGCACAGGATCTCAACCTATATATTTGTCCACAGGCATCAAGTATATCCAAAAAAGTGTACATTTGAAAAAAATTTGGCCTTGCCCACAAATTATCATAGCCCACCTCTCACTGAAAGCTGGAACAGCTTTTAGACTTGAATTTCTGTAACGATGTGAGTTCACTTTTCTTCACAACTGAACTGCTCTAGTACTTCAGCAGTACAAATTATTTGTCATCTAGGTTCCTGAGCCATCACACATTATAAAGTTATAGCTTTGTTTCTGCCACAAGCTACTGAGTGGATATTTATTTATGAAGGAAAGTCACAGTTGGCTGAGCATCAGAAACACAGATGTGTCAGGAAGGAAGTTAGACATGAGCCACAAGGGGAGGCCTGGCTGAAAGGGAGGCAGGCTGATCTCTATAAACTCCAGAACAGATGCACCCAGGAGAGCTGACATATGCTATAAAATAACCACAGAGACTTCTCAACTCCTGCACATGCACCCCAGGCACACAGTGGATACAAAATAACCACAGGGGCTTATCCAAGGAACTTTAGGCAGTTCTGAGCCCAGTAAGGATTTAGGAATATTCTACGTCTAATTTTAACACACTGAATTATTGGAAGACATATGGGAAGACATAACAGAGCCTGCTGTTATATAATTTACAATTATCAATTGGCCTTGAGTGTATGCTCATTTGCATTCCCTTTCATTGATTGGTGGTGGGCATAAGTCCTACTTTGCACACACAATAACCAAGAGGAGGAGCCTGGAAGTACGAAAAGGGGAAACCAAGTGGGATCAGGTTGAAGGATGAGGAAGACTCTTTTAGGATCAGCCTGCTCCCATGTCTTGGGAGTGTCTGTTTAATGAAAGATATGTCTGCTTGAGCTGAACTGAGCTATAAGTTGTCTGTTGTTTTATACTCTTTAACCACTGCTCTAAATTTTTGTTGTGACAAGACAGGAACGCAGGAAGAGAGAGAAACTGACTTGCCGGATGCCAAGACATTTCCAGAGCAACTACATTAGAACTGCCTGTGATAAAGTTGGCTACTGACAAGCTCTGTTGAAAATTCCGATGTCTAACTAGATCAACTGGTAAAGAACCTGCAATGCAGGAGACCCTGTTTCGATTCCCGAGTCAGGAAGATCTGCTGGAGAAGGAATAGGCTACCCACTCTAATATTCTTGGGCTTCTCTGGTGGCTTAGCTGGTAAAGAATTTGCCTACGAGGCAAGAGACCGGGGTTCAATCCTTGGGTTGCGAAGATCCCCTGGAGAATGAAATGGCTACCCACTCCAGTATTCTGGCCGGAAGAAGTCCATGAACTGTATAGTCCATGGGGTCACAAAGAATCGCATGCGACTTTCACACTTTTCAACTGGGTTTTGGGGCTTCCTAGGTGGCACTAGTGGTAAAGAAACTGCTTGCCAGTGCAGAAATAAGAAACACAGGTTTGATCCCTGGGTCAGGAAGACCGCTGGAGGAGGGCATGGCAACCCACTCCAGTATTCTTGCCTGGAGGATCCCATGGACAGAGGAGCCTGGCAGGCTACAGTCCATAGGAGAGTTGGATATAACCGAAGCAACTCAGCACATATACACATCTAGTTCTAAGAATCACTGTTCAGCGACTTCCCATGGTGGTCCAGTGGCTAAGACTCCATGCTCCCAATGCAGGGGGCCTAGGTTAGATGCCTGGTTGGGGAACTAGATTGTGCATGCTACAACTAAAGCCTGGCACAGCCAAATGAAAAATACATACATATTTAAATATTTTTTAAAAACATTTTTTAAAAGATTTTAAAAAATCACTGCTCAAGGGCTTGCCAATCATAATCATTTTTTATAACAGCTTTATTGATACATGTCACATACTATAAAATTCACCCTTTTAAAGCATGCAATTCAGTGGTCTTTAGTATGTTCACAAAACTGTACAACAATCTAATTTCAGAACATACCACCTTAAAAACAGGTACCCTTTTAAAAAGCAAAGACGCTACCCAAAAGACTGCCTTTCCAATTCATTGGGTCGCACAGTCAGACACGACTGAAGCTAATTAGCAGCAGCAGTTTGCACACCAGCCTCAGGCCTCGACCAAATGCTGGGAGGCTGCAATGTCCAAGATTAAACTAATGAAGAGTTAAAGCTTCTGGGGCTGTGGAAGGAAAGAGAGTGAACAAAAGCATGGTTCTTTAGGCAAGCAGGAGAGCAGTGCACAGACATGGCTATCAGGAAGACAACCAGAAGTGTTTAATGTTCCCAGGTGGTGGTTCTCATCTCTAGAACAGGAACTGATTTATCATGGTTTAAAGCACAAGAATCCATGTAAAGTCCTTAACTTCCTATCTGACACACAGTAAACATTATTAGGTAGTAGCTATTTTAAAAGAAGGCTGAGTGCCCAAGAATTGATGCTTTCAAATTGTGGCGCTGCAGAAGACTCTTCAGAGTCCTCTGGACAGGAAGATCAAACCAGTCAATCCCAAAGGAAATCAACCCTGAATATTCATTGCAAGAATTGATGCTGAGGCTGAAGCTCCAATACTTTGGCCACCAGATGCAAAGAGCCAACTCACTGGAAAAGACCCTGGTCCTAGGAAAGACTGAAGACAAAGGAGAGGGGGGTGGCAGAGGATGAGATGGTTGGATGGCATAAAGACTCAATGGACCTGAGTTTGAGCAAGCTTGGGGAGATGGTGAAGGACAGAGAGGCCTGGCATGCTGCAGCCCATGGGGTTATAGAGAGTCGGACACAACTTAGCAACTGAACAACAATGGAAAGCATAATTCTCCCTATGGGGTTATGTGATTTCTCTTAAGATTTTAGTTAATAGGAAAAAGTTTTCTCCTGGTTCCCCTGATGGGACAGAAAGAACTGGGGTTTAACATTTAAATGCAATGTGCCTTTTCCTCAGATAATCTTTAAGTTTGAACCCTTCTCTTTAAAATGTCTCTATTTTTAGAAATAAGGGGATAAGTTATCAATCAGCAGGTTTTGGAGTCTGAGATACAAGTTAATTCATGGCTTTTAAAATTGTTATACAATACAAATTTTAATATCTTTCAGTTTTTTATTTGGCTGTGCCAGGTCTTAATTGCAACACAAGGTATCATCAGTACGTGGGATCTTTTTTTTTCAGTTGTGGCTTGCAAACTCCTAGCTGTGGCATGCAGGATCTAGTTCCCTGACCAGGGATCAAACCCAGGCCCCCAGCATTGGGAGTGTGGAGTCTTAGCCACTGGATCAGCAGGTGAAATCCCAACATCTTAAACTGTCTTTAACTGTAAAGTGGTGTTAAGTACATTCACATTGTTGTGCAACCATTAACACCATCCTCTTGCAAGAACTCTTCATCTTGTAAAGCTGAAACTCTATCAAACAGGAAATTCCCATTCCTGCCTCACCCCAACTCCTGGCAGTCACCATTCTCCTTTGTCTCTGTAAATTTAACTACTCTAAATACCCCATGTAAGTGGAATAATAAAGAGTTTGTCCTTTTGTGACTGGCTTATTTCAGTTAGCATAATGTCCTTAAAGTTTGTCCAAGTTGTAGCTTGTGTCAGAATTTGCTTCCTCTCAAAGGCTGAAAATATCTCATTGCATTTATATACATTGTTTATCCATACATCTGTTGACGTACTTAGGTAGCTTCCACCTTTGGCTATTGTGAATAATGCTATGAACATGACCCTTGAACAGATCTCAGACCCTGCTTTCAATACTTTTGAATATATACATGTATGTGAGATTTCAGGGTCACACAGTAACTCTACTTTTGAGAGGAACTGTCACCCTGTTTTCCAAAGTGGCTACACCATTTTACACTTCCACCAGCAGTTCTAAGTGTTCACTTTCTCCACAGTGTTCTCAACATTTGTTGTTTTCTTTTTAAAAAATATATTACATATTTATTTTGCTGCATTGGGTCTTAGTTGTAGCATGCTGGATCTTGGATCTTTGTTGTGGCACCAGGCATCTTTAGTTGCAACATGTGGGATCCAGTTCCCCTACCAGGATCGAACCCACGCTCCCTTTATTGGGAGTGCAGTTTTAGCCACTGGACCACCACAGAAGTCCCAACATTTATTATTTCCTGATTGTTAACAGCCATCCTAACAGGTGTGAAATGGTCTCTCTTTTTTTTTTGGCCACACTGTGCAGCATTTAGAATCTTAGTTCCCTGACCAGGGATAGAAACCATCCCCCTACAGTGTAAGCTTGAAGTCTGGACACTGACAGTCTAGGGAGTCCCTCACTGTGGTTTTGATTTGCACTTTCCTAATGGCTAGGGTGCTGGGAGGGATTGGGGGCAGGAGGAGAAGGGGACAACAGAGGATGAGATGGCTGGATGGCATCACCGACTCCATGGACCTGAGTTTGAGTAAACTCCGGGAGTTGGTGATGGACAGGGATGCCTGGCGTGCTGTGATTCATGGGGTCGCAGAGTCGGACCTGACTGAGCGACTGAACTGAACTGAATGACTCGGGATGTTGAGTGTCTTTTCATGGGGTTATTGGCCATTTGCATATCTTATTTGGAGCTATGTCTATTCAAGCCTTTTGCCCATTTTAATTTTCTTTTAAATGCTTTTTACTTTTTTGCTATACCATCCATATAGCTTATGGGATCTTCGTTCCCTGACTAGGGATCAAACCTAGGCCCTGACAATGAAAGCACTGTGTCCTAACCACTGGACTGCCAGAGAATTTCCTCAATTGTGTTTTTAATCTGACTTTTAAATTAGGAAATATTTCCTGATTGAATAAAATGGCTTGAATATAAAAAATAGGCGTTAGTATCATATCAGGAACAGTGACAAGCAGGGATAACAGTACAGAAAGAGGAAATGAAGCTGAAGAGAATGTGAAGACAGAAGAGAGACAGAGAAAGGCAAAGGCTTAAGTGTGCAGTTCTTAATACGTGTCATAAATCTTTTTATCCCATTTAATTATTCAGTTAGGTTTTAGTTTTGCCATCTCTTGCCTTTAGTACTATTTTTTCATTTATTCAAGAATCATGTTCTGACTGTCTACAACCATGGCGCTGCCTGCATTGAAGAGGTTTACATGTTAATAAGAGTAAGTTTAAGTAAGACAGGTGTTATAAATTAAGGTGGATGACATAAGTGCAAAAGAAAAGATTGTGAAGAGGGAGCCTGGGGAACGTTTATGGATACTGCGTACCTTCTAGTGTAAGCAGCTTTGCCAACTCTGAGGGAACCCCTAGTCTGTTGGGGGCTTTCCTGGTATTTCTGACCACTTCTCCTGAGCAGGGCATTCTTCTAGGAGTTGAAATTTCTGAAGGGGAAAAGTCATGGCTATTCCAATGGAGGCTGAAACTAAAAAATGACAAAACAGTTTAAAACAATCAGTAATAAAACTCAAACACTTGTCTATAAGGTAACTTTGTAATTCAAGGCTGTGATGGTTTAATTTAGCATAGGTCCTTATCTTCATATTCCCTCCCTCCTCAACCAATTTTACAAATGCTTGGTGTTTCTTAGTCTTTTCCTTTTTTGGCTGCTCAGTGTGGCTCGTAACATCTTAGTTCCCTGACCAGGGATTGGACCCATGCCCCGTGCGTTGGAAGCGCAGATTCTTAACCATTGGACCACCAGGGAAGTCCCTCATTTCCTCATTTTAATTCTGGTGTTCCTGTTGAAATGAACTTCAGTATGTGCTCAGCTTTTCAAACTACCAGGCTATGTGGTCTGTGGTGGGTGGAGGAAATCATAAGGCCAACTTCTGTTGGATGCTGACTGTTGTCACTGTTGGGGGATTTCCATAGAGTAACTGGACTAAGGTTACATTTTCAGCTGATTTTCCCAGCGTATCATAGTCTGTAGCACTTCTGGCTCCCAGCACCAGGAAGTAGGCTGTTCTGAAATATTCTGTTAAGTGAGATAATGTTGTATAATATATATAACAATATATTTTAAATTGTGGATTTAAAGAGCGTTCATATCCTAAATGTGGAACCTAAAACATGTTTTCTATCAAACATTTTTCAGTAAGATAGTTACTATTGTAATAGAATCAAATTGTAAAACCCAAGCTACTTTATATGTGGTGTCACTAGGCCCAAATTACAGCTGTTGAGAAACTCCCAAAGCATTTAGGAATTTTTTATTTCCTCAAAATAAGTTTTTGCTATATTCCATTCAATAAGCACCCCACTCACTACTTTCACTCCTGCAATTAACCAGAAAAAGAGAAGTTTACAATCAGTGGTTCCCCCTAGTGATAAACAGGTAGTACAAAACACCCTTTTAACAAATAACCATATAGAATTGTGCTCAATATGCATCTGTGGTAAGAATTCTGCCTAGGAATGGCCATAATAACTAAAACTTACCACTTAGAAATTACTAAATCAAGTATCAAAAAGAATTCATCATTGCTAAAACATCCAGCATTACACACACTGGGTTGGTCACAAAGTTCACACGGGGTGTTCCGTAACATCTTCTGAACAAACTTTTTGGCCAGTCCAATGCTTTTTACTCGCTACTGATCCTGGACTGTGTCATGGAAAGGCAAAATTAGATGAAAGCCATGGAATCCGAGCTATGTCCAAGAGGCTATATATGATTATAGCAAGAAGATATTTATCCCACACCCATAATCAGGCTTAACACATAGATCTGTAACCAAAGTGATTTCAGGGTGGTTAGAACTGTCTATACCTGCTGTGGCTTGAGGCTGACAAGGGAGCTTCTCCCTGGACTGACAGGAAAGGTCTAAGTTGGTATTTCCAAGGATAAGTAGGGTCCTCTTGTCTACTTGGCTACATTCATCCTCTAGTCAGTGAAGAAAGGTCAAGGTGAGTGAGGAGCTAGCCAAAGACCCGGCTGGCCACCCCCCTAACCCCTGTAACCATGTATCACAGAAGTACTGGAGAGTACCAGCGCCATTCACATTTTTCTGTCAATTCTGACTTTCAATAGGGGAACTTTAGTCGCCATGCTGCAGCCCAGCACTGGAAATTAGCTGAATGATTCTGGATGGTTTTGTACAGTTTCAAATTGTTAGCCTTAAGAATTTGAGGGCTTTGAAATACGTAACTAAGCAGAAGCCTGCTGACTTTCAAAACTAGTTGAAAGATAAGACTTTTAATTTGGTACCTTTAATGGATAAAGTTCTTATTATTTATTTTTGGCCACGCCATGCAGATCTTAGTTCCCTGACCAGGGTCCCAATCCAGGTTCCCTGCAGTAGAAGTGCAGAGTTTGAACCACTGGACTACCAGGGAATTCTCAGTAAATTTGTCCTTATGAGTAGGCAAATCCACAAGCTGAGATTTTTTTTTTTTTTCAGGATCAGTTTTAGTTCCACTGTATCTCTCTTTGATGACCACTGTCCAAACTTATATGAATACGTATACTGTATTAGAACACCTGAAAGAAAGAGTATAAAGTGACTTTATAATTGCTTTTTCATATAAACAAAAAAGCAGAATTATAATCTATTTATAAATTAATGACAAAGCCACAAAACCTAATAAAGTTATTTTAACAGGTGCTAAATATAAATACTTCTTATTTCCTGTCTACACTCCTGTTCCGATTAACTCTTCTATGAATAGAAAGCTATAGCTGACTCTCTTCAAGTCTGTCTGTATCACATAACTGTTGATCAGTTCTGGGCAACCTATTCATAGCTGCCTGTCTTTGCTGAGTGGTCTTCACAAATCTCAGCAGGTTGACGATGGCAGCAGGTGTCACTCCAGGTATACGACTGGCAGCCCCAATCTAGGAATTAAAACCACAAGAGACACATAAATGAGCTATGTCAGTTATAACCAAATTTATTCTCCTCTTGATAATGATCTGTATGTTACAGTTTATAAATTATTTTCAAAACTTTATCTTAATGTATTGTCAAAGTAACTTTAGAAAGTAGGTAGAAATGTGGTTATAATTAATATCTTCACTTTAAAAACAGAGGAAACTGAGACTCAGAGACATTAAAATGACTTGTCTAAGATCATGTGACAGATGTTACAGTACCTAACCTTTTCTTTTTGTTAAACTAAACTAACAACACTGGCAATAACAACACTGGCAATGTGTTGGTCAGCACCCTGTGACTAATCTCAGTAATATTTCTATGGTATATTTTTGCACTGAAATGTATGACTTATTCACTCCAAGTGGTATAAAGACCTTGTATCAGTTCAGGTCTGTTTTGCCACCAAATGACTCTGTAGCAAACGTTTGTTAGAGCTTTTGGTATTTTAGAATTTTGGTTAAGTGAACTCTGATGACCAGTACAATGCAACTGAACTTTTCTGTGACAATGGAAAATTTCTGTAACACTGGCAGTATAAAAATATGGTAACTGTCCATTATGACAGCCAACAGCCTTTTGTAGTTACTGAGCATCGGAAATGTGGCCACTATGACTGAAGAGTTGAATTTTTAACTTTATTTCATTTTAATTACTGTAAATGGTTGCACTTGGTTAGCAGCTATCATATTGGGCCGTGCAGCCTATGACTATCCACAAAAACGTAACCAAAAATGAGTAAGATACAGCTATAAAACTTAAGGCCTCTCTGCTGCTTTCCATGATGACTATAACTAAGAATACCAAGTTAGTTGATGAAATCACTCCTCTTTTAAACAAATCTTTTCAAAAATTTTTGCAAGCTATGGTTTTGTTAAATGCTCCTTTATTTTATGAACCACTGGGGGGGGAAAAAAAAAAACCCAACCCAATGCCCATTAAACTATGGTACACCATCAATTTTTAAGCTAACTCAGAGATGTTAAAAATGTATCTCAGAATCAATAAATACAGCCTACAAGTCTTTAAATATTTGTTATTACAAATTCAATACTGTGTGCTGCTAAGTTTTTTAACAGACGTGTACAGCGTGGTGTCCACGCACTCATGCAAATGCAAAGCACACAGACACACGCAGGATCACGGGTGGGGCCTCTTTGCTCCTCTACTTCCTCCTACCGGCTCCCAAGGCCACACTGTGGAACTCCTGAGAGGGATCCAAACAGTGATCTGAAAACCACTGACATGTATTCTAGTTTAACCTAAAGTTGTTTAAGTCATGCATATAAACAAGCATGCACATGGTTGGATAATTATAATCAACCCAATTCTTGACTTCAAGATATTTATTTAGACTAAGCTTTTTTATCTGTCATAAAAAATATGACACTTGTCATATAAAGTGAATATGTCATATAAAGAAAATAAGAGGGTAAGCTCTTTATGATGAAATAAAACATTAGTTACGTGGCCACTACAAATCCAGCTTTTAAAAATTAAAGCATTGGCTCTTTATGATCTGTTCCTATCCACTGCCTGTTTTCTTACCGTCTGTGGGCGACTGAAATGGAGCTTCTCTCGAACTTCATAGGACAAAGATATATCCTTGAGAGTCAAATAATCTAGGTCCTTTGGCAGTTGGAGAGCTTCATCTTGCTGAACTTCCTTTATTTCTTGTTGCTGATGGAACAATACTGATTCATAAGTGGCTGGTGAACAAAATTAATTATGTTGTAATATTCAGATAAAATTAATGACCTACATGTTTCTAGCTTTTTACAATTTACAGAGAGTTTTTGGATACATGATCTCAGTACCACGACAGGTGGGGTAGGTGTTCCCTTTCGCAGAAGAGGAGACTGAGGTTAAAAAGAGAAGGACTATCTTGGGTATTAACTACAACATTCTGTCTGGCAGTTTATTCCATGTCCTTATCATTTAAAAAGTCTAGAAAATTTTAAGAAAAAATAATTGCTTTCTTTCTTAATGCAAATTTTGGTTGGAACACTTTCTTCAACAGGCTGTAGGTTTGAAGTTGTAAAGATAAGGTGTTTCTCCAAGAAGATGGTTTTCAAATAAAGCTATAATTGTTAAAAGTATATATTCTTGGATGATAACATATAATTTAAATAAATTAACTGAAGTTTTATTCAGAGTGAACTTAGAAAGATAATTCAGCAATTATTTTGTAATTAAAGCATTCCATTCTTAGAAAAATAAATCCAAGAGCTGTTTTAAAACCTATATTGAGGTGGTCATTCTGTCCTGTTTAAGAAAAGCAAGTCTTCCCTAGAGGTTTTGGCAGCTTCTGCTTCCATCACTTGACTGGTAGCCAGAAAACCTCAGCTCTGAGCCTGGCTCTACCAATAAATTACCCTCTGACAATGAACACATCATGATACTTCTGGGCCTTAGCTGCCTTATCTCGAAATGTTATGGGCTATTATGGGCTGAGCCAGAGGAGTTATGGTGGTCTTTTTGACAACAAAAGAGAGCTGTGAGGTGCACAGGGCTTGTAGACAGATATACCAGGTTCAAAGCCCAGTTCTGCCACTCCCCAACCATGTGACCCTGGGCAAGTTATGACTATCTGTAAATTAAGACATAATGCTAGTAGCTATCCTTCACATGACACTTTTTAAGTATCAAATGAAATAATGCGCATAAAGGGATTAATATAACATATTTTTCCAGTGGTCATGTACGGATGTGAGAGGTGGACTGTAAAGAAAGCTGAGCACCGAAGAATTGATGCTTTTGAACTGTGGTGTTGGAGAAGACTCTTGAGAGTCCCTTGGACGGCAAGGAGATCCAACCAGTCCATCCTAAAGGAGATCAGTCCTGGGTGTTCATTGGAAGGACTGATGTTGAAGCTGAAACTCTAATACTTTGGTCACCTGATGCGAAGAGCTGACTCACTGGAAAAGACCCTGATGCTGGGACGGATTGAGGACAGGAGGGAGAAGGGGACAACAGAGGATGAGATGGCTGGATGGCATCACCGACTCGATGGACATGGGTTTGGGTGGACTCCGGGAGTTGGTAATGGACAGGGAGGCCTGGCGTGCTGTGATTCATGGGGTCGCAAAGAGTCGGACATGACTGAGTGACTGAACTGAACTGACTGATAACACATCAGCATGACAAACTGTAATGAAATTTTATGACTAGGAATAGCCTATAGGATCACAGAATATAAACAGTGTACATGTTAAAGATATATTTAATTTTTCAAATATGTAGAGCAAACCATGAGAAATATTACAAAGAAGAATCTGCAACTGATTTCTGCCTTCAAAAAACTTATCTAAGGACTTCCCTGGCAGTCCAGTGGTTAAGCCTTCACCTTCTAATTCACAGGGTGCAGGTTTGATCCCTGGTCAGGGAGCTAAGATCACACATGCCTCAGGGCCAAAAAAACCAAGACATAAAACAAGCAAGATTGTAATAAATTCAATAGATTTTTAAAACAGTCCACATTAAAAAAAAAAGATAAAACTTATCTAGTGGAGGATCTAGGTAGTAATTTGAAAACTACTGATATGTGCTATATTTTAACCTAGTGTGGTTTCCTTTAAGCCACGAGTATTAGTCTTTATATATGCCAGTTTTAAAGAACAAGGCAAAACAGTAGTTACTCCATGGCTAAAGTCAGGGTTTCCTATAAACAAGTTGAAGGTAATTATTTTGGATGATTTATTGGACACAGTAAAACTGCAAACCAAGTTTAAAATACAGAGTTTAATCACCTTTTCCTAGATGCTAACGGCCTAAATGTTCAATAAAGTAACTTTTACTCAATAGAAAGATCATGATGTTGAGATATAAGGTTAACAATACTTCTTACATGTTAGCAAATGACCAGGGCATGGTCATTTGGAAGAATGATAGGTAGCCCCTGGGTCATCTTATACAAGCAGTCAAACCATAGCAAGGTGACAGACCTCTCTGGAACTGAAAGAAAATGTTACCACTAGAAGGACTGCGGCATTCTTATCACCTTCGCCGGTCCCCAAGGAGCCTGAAGTCCTTTCCTGTTTGAACAGTCCACCTTTATCCTGCTTTTCCTACCCTTCTGTCCCATCTTATTCTGTTTCCTGACTTTTTCTCCACACAATTTTCCAGTGGAGGAAAAAAAATCTTCTATCACAATACAGAGGCTAATGCTATTATCAGTATTTCTGTTTGAATTTTTTTTTTTTTGGCATGCGGGATCTTCCCTGACTGAGGATCAAACCTGTGCCCCCTGCATTTGGAGTACAGAGTCTTAAATCACCAGGGAAGTCCTGAAAATTTTTTTTTTATAAAGAAAAAATTAAAAATTGCAACACAACTCCAAAAGTCCTATGTGACTTTGACAGTCAATATATTGACAAAGGGTATGAGCGCATGCCAAATGTTATAACATACAGGGGCAGACTGTGAACTTCTTTGCCTGGTACAAAATAAGTCTTTGTTAATGGAAGAGTATTATAACACATCATTAAAGCCAAAGATAGCATTATTTTCCTCATTATTAGAGCATTTAAGTGGAGAAAACATTAAAAAAAAAAGTTCAAAAGGAAAGAAGATTCAAGGTTTTTTTTTTTTTTTTTTTAAAAAGGAGAGCTCTACAGTGGCACTTCCCAACATGAAATATACACACAGATCACCTAGGGATCTTGTTAAAATGCAAATGCTCACTCAGTGGGTCTGGGGTGGAGCCTGAGATTGTGTATTCCTAACACATTCTGATGTTACAATGCTACCTAGGAAACCTACTCTGAGTGGTCAGAGCCTAAGACGATACTGGTCTTACAGTAATAATGGCTCCTCTTGACACAGAGCTCTCTGTGTATCTGCAATTCACTCATTATTTGCACAAATGAAGAAGACAGCATACAGACATCCTAACTAGAAAATTTTCTACCTTCTATTTTCAGTCTTTCGGCCAGCTCTCTACACTGGGTGTACTTCTTCAAGGGCTCTGGAACAGCCCTGGCCAACAACTCCATGTCAACTTCCTCATACTTCAGAACATCAAGAGCTCTACAAACACAGAAAAGTTTCATTAACACAAGGGTCCATATCATATCAGGCAGATTAAGAACAAAATTCCTTGAGAGTAATAGTAAATCTCAGAATAAATAATATCAATATATTTCTAATTTTCCCCAAGTACACCGAGCAAACACAGCAGCATCTGCAACACAGCCGGACCTCCAGAAGATCAGCATGTGGTTCTCAGGCTGAATTCTGTCGAAAGCTCTTCTGCATCTATTGAGATTATCATATGGTATTTATCTTTCAATTTGGTGATATGGTGTATCACACTGATTGATTTGTGTATATTGAAGAATCCTTGCATCCCTGGGATAAACCCGACTTGATCATGGTGTATAATCTTTTTAATGTGTTGCTGAGTTCTGTTAGAATTTTTTGAGGATTTTTGCATCTATGTTTATCAGTAATATTGGCCTGTAATTTTCTTTTTTGGTGATGTCTCTGGTTTTGTTATCTGGGTGATGGTAGCTTCATAGAATGTGTTTGGAAGTGTTCCTTCCTCTGCAATTTTTTGAAAGAGAGCATGTGATTCTCAACTCATTTCCTTTATCAAGAGAGGTAAGTGGTTGGTAAAGTGGTACTGCAACAATCCATTTGTCCTCCAGAGCTTTCCTATTAGGACAGAATATCCTCTGAAAACAAGGGTGTGATTGAACTCCCTAAGAATTTACATCTAAGTCACATTAAGCCCACGTCCTGTGAATGCATCATCCTTCTACACACAGGCTCAGGACCAACTAAAGGAGATCTCCTGCTTGTTCCAAGAGTGGAAAATACCCTGCAGTTTCCTTCTCATTTTGCTTGGTTCTCACAAGGTCTCACTGATCTGTACACTTTCCCTACACTACACTTACTGCCTTAATTTTATTTTTATTTACTTTTCTCTTTCCCTCTTTTAATAGATCGCTTTTTTCATCAACTTTGTCCACCCAAAATCAATTAAACCAATTAATTTATCAAGTCAAAAGAAAGTCAAATCTGCCCATCCCAGCGTCCCAAGTCCTTTCAGGCCTCCCAGATGTGTTTTTTTTTTTTTACAGCTCATTCTATCACCACAGTCATGTGTCACACCCTCTGCAGAGGCCTGTCTCATCTCAGACAGTCTAGGAAAGGCCAGACACCTCTTCCCACAAGCAGCTGTCAACTTTGTTGTGCTCCACAAGATGAATTATGTCAATTTCAGAAGTCTCATCAGATAAGCTATTAAAACCAAACAATGAAACCAAATAACCCTAAACTCCAAAAGAAAAGGGGTTGTCCTTTCAGAAATTATAGATCAAGACTTCCCTGGTGGCTCAATGGTTAGGAATCACCTGCCAATGCAAGGAATATGGGTTCAATCCCTGGTTTGGGGAGATCCCACATGCTATGGGGCAACTAAGCCTGTGTGCCAGAACTACAGAGCTCACTCGCCTTGGAACTGGTGCTCTGTGACATGAAAAGCCATCACAACGAGAAGCCCATGCTCTGCAACTTGAGAGCAGCCCACACCAGTCACAACTAGAGAAAGCTTGCATGTAGCAATGAAGACCCAGGGTGGCCAAAAATAAAATAAAAAAATTATAGAACATACAGGAACACACCTCCTAATGACTAACCAAAAAAAGGGCTACCTTAGGAATCTTACAGGATGGTGACCTCAAAGAAAAGCCTATGACCATTTATTAAAAAGGTTTTAGGGTTCCCTGGTGGTCCAGTGGTTAAGAATCTGCCTGCCAATGCAGGGGACATGGGTTTGATCCCTGGTCTGGGAAGATCCCAGATGCCGCGGGGCAACTGAGCCTGTGCACCACAATGACTGACCCAGCACTCTGGAGCCTACCAGCTGCAACTGCTGAAGCCTGTGCTCCACGACAGGAGAAGCCGCTGCAGCGAGGCGCCCCGGCCCCTCAGTGAAGAGCAGCTCCCACCTGCTGCAGCTAGAGAAAGCCCACAGGCAACAATGAAGACCCAGAGCAGCCAAAAATAAATACATCTTAAAAGGCTTTTAAACAATTTGTTTAGAAGGCCTGGAGCAGTCTGCAGGTCCAGACTTCAAGACCAGCTTTGAATGAAGCCTAAGCCTCAGAGTACAGAGGGCTGCCACAGAAGGACATGTTAGCACACTTCTGCAGAACACAAGAGACAGTTTCTGCGCTACCTGGCACATCAGTGCGTTTCCCTATGATCCTGACAGGAAATGTGTGCGCACACGCTCTGTGGATCTCTTTTGTCAAAATGGTAGCTCAAAGTCCAGTTCCGCTTCTCAGTGCCTGGCGCACAGCTTGCTTTGTGTGCGGCAGATACGACACACGTCCTTGGACCAATTTTCTGTCTTTTGAGCTTCATATATCTAGGAATTGATCAAGTGAGTTCTTTCAGGGAGGCTCAACACTAGACTATAAATATTCTGCCAAAATCAAACAGGAGGATGAGGCCCCTGTTTCCTTCTGAAAGGAAAGACACCTGAATTAACAAGAAAAGCATTTGGTCAAATTTCTGTTTAAAAAAAAAGTTACCTTAACAAAATGGCTACTCTTGGGATTAGGTAAAAATATAAAACTGACAGCCCCCTCCTTTTTCATATTTTTATTCATCAATTAGCATCCTAAACTGTGTTGAAAATAATCACTTCCCTTGCTCTCACTATGACCTCAATCCACATTAGTCACATTGAATACAAATTCTAATTATATAGAATCTAACATAGTGCAATATTGCCCTAAAAGAAGCATAATGCTACAAATTCTTCTGCAAAGTTTGAAATAATAATAAACCCCCTTAAATTTAAACAAATAGCCGGACAACAGAGTGAAATATAAAACTATGCTTATACTACTACCATCTCCCAGTACCACTTAACTGGTAAACAAATAAATCTGCTACCCTTATTTGTGAACCAAGCTGTCTTTCCTGTGAATGAGACCCCCTGGTTTGGGTGACAACCATGCAGATTCTTTATTATTTATTGTTGCTAAGTCACTTCAGTCATGTCTGACTCTTTACTAGCCTATGGATTGTAGTCCACCAGGCTCCTCTGTCCATGGGATTCTCCAGGCAAAAATACTGGAGTGGGTTGCCATGTCCTTCTCCAGGGGATCTTTCTGACCTAGGGATCGAACCCACATCTCTTATGTTTCCTGCATTGGCAGGTGGGTTCTTTACCACTAGCGCCACCTGGGAAGCCCATTATTTACTGTTACAATAATTAAAAACTGCTTACTATCCTCTAACAGTGGTGCCAGTGCTTTGGGAAATTCCCATGAAAATGAAAATTTGGGAACACAAATTGTAAACAAAAAACACTGATGAGATGAAAGTCAAAGACATGTTAGTCTGGCTGTTAGTTAAGGAGAGAGCACTTACAGAGATCAGGGATGACAAAAAGTGGCATTAAAATGAATACACCATTAAGTCTACAAATTTCCTCACGAGCAAAACAGGGACTGAGAAAAAGGAGAAAACTATAAACAAAAAACAGACTGGAGACACAGCAGCAAGACCAAGTCAGTGTGTGAGGTTCTAAGATACAATGATTGTAGATTTATACCTTCTAAACCTCCCCGCCGCCCCCCTTCCCACCTGTTAGCTTATATTTTTTAAATGGGAAAAATCAGTGGTAACTGATGCAAATTTTGAATTACATGAGGTTTTTAGAAATGTATCTCTGAATCAAAAAAGCTCTCTATTAATGTCCTTTAGACTTAAGAGTCCATATAACCAGAATGGTAAAAACAAGGACAAAAAAACTCCTAAAATGTAGCAAGGGACTCTTCAAGAATTGGTAACACTGCTTAATCAGAGTTTCCCTGCTATGGCTCACAGGCAAGATGAGACCATTCCAAATGTTCAATGTTTAAAAAAGAAAGCAAATTATGCTAGTTCTTGGTTTATGCCCTCTAAATCTTAGGAAAGGCAGAACTCAATGGGAGCCCCAGAGAAATACAATAAAAAACAATTTAGAATCATATATATTGTCATTCATGAGTAAGGAGATAAGTTACGTCTAAAGAATTTTGAAAAGAAGCAAACATAACCACTGCATCCGTTTAAAACGTGTACCTAGCAATCTATAGGTAATATCTCTCTGAGACAACTCCATTCTTCTATAAAAAGAAAGTTGACACAAAAAATGCATACCTGAGAGGCAGACTTTTACCACTACTTATAGAAGACTCTGGAATTAAGGTTTTCCACTTAGTACTTAAAAACTCAATGGATTTTAGCATAGAAATGCCTTCTTCTAAAGAAGACTTCATCCAAGAAGCTCTCTCATATCGTTGTTGGGACACACAACCAGCTTCCTTATACCCTAGAAGGGGGAGGGGGAGATTATAATGAAAGAGGTCTTAAAAGCAGAGAGTATGTGGTTGCAGGACTCAGTGTAAGAGTTACCTCGGAATGTGAGCCTGCTGTCGGCGTTATCAGGACGCAGTGACAACCGGAACTCGGCTCGGCTGGTAAACATGCGGTATGGTTCGTTGGTGCCCAGCGTGGTGAGGTCATCAATCAAGACTCCTATGTAACCTTCTGTTCGGCTAATGACAAAAGGAGGCTTGTGTCTGACCCGAAGACTTGCATTGATTCCAGCTATCACGCCCTACAAGAGGACTGAAATGTTTAAAAGGCCATTATGAACTGAACAAAGAGCTATCCTATTAAGATACTACCTGGAAAAAATGGTTCAGGCAGTAAGGAAACAGGCCGGCCCAAAAAGGACACAACAGACAGAAAATGTGGTTCATATTCACAAACAGAATATGGGTAATGTACCACTTCAGAATGCTATAATTCACTGTTTTCAAAAATATCTAATATTCTTGATAAACCAGGTGGCTAATCTTTAAAAAAAAAATCCACTTGTAAGACTTTTTTAGCCTTTTCCCACTTACAAGTAAAAATAACATAACTTTCTGTTTAAAAAGGAGTAATAACAGGGTAATTTTCAATAAAGTTAGGTTAGGTTAAAAGAACTAAATTTTCTTCTTTTAAATTTCAGAAGCAACACAAAAATCTAATCAAAAAATGCAACTGGATCTAGGAGCTCAGAAAAGAGTAACAAAGACACAGTGTTTTAAAAATCCTGTTGTATACAGAAGCCACCCCCATATGTCCTGAAATAGAAGTCAGTTTTCTATTATAGCTATGAGTTGTATCTAAGCTCTATATAGCAATCACGACAGATGTCAAGAGGAGGAACACCAGTTAAACAGTCCTTTTCTGTTTATAGTAACATTTGAAACACTTCTTACTTGAGCTGCAGCTTCCTCGTAACCAGTAGTGCCATTTATCTGTCCAGCAAAGAAGAGCCGCTGTACCAAATGAGTCTCGAGAGAAGGAGAGATCTGCCGGGGGTCCATGTAATCATACTGAACACCATAGCCTGGCCAAAGAACAGGTGGTACAAAATAAGCAAAAACAGCGCTGGGTTTGCCTCAAGGCAGAGATGCAAAGATTATCATTAAATGCTCTTCAAATGTGAAGACTATTTTATTAATAAACATGCAGATGCTGGGTATTGTCTCCTTGGGCTCTAAGCATCATGACTGTAGCTTCAATCTCTCCACTGTCTGCTACGCAACGCTGAGCTCAGACCAAAGGGCAGCTGGCATTCTCTTTACCTGGCTGAACCATTTTAGCATTCTCCAAGCCTCTGATGCAGGTGATCATCTTCTCCTGTAATTCAGCTGGCAGTGTCACAGATAACCCTTGGGGGTAGATGAGGTCGGAATCCATTCCTTCAGGTTCCAACCAAACCTGATGCACACGGTTTGGAAAACGCAAGACCTTTGATTCAATGGAGGGACAGTATCTAGAATAGGACAATTGGAATTTAAAAATTTAATGAAACAAATAAAAGAGGATTACAGTAATCCTTACTGTAATTAAGCAAAGGTATTTTGTCCTTACCGGGGTCCTCTTGTAGTTTCCTTAACGTGACAGTTAAGGTGAAGGTTCTCAAGGACAATCTCATCCACTCGAGGGTTAGTGTGAGTCAAGTAACATGGCAGCTGATCTTCTGGCTAAAACATGGGAACTCATCACAACACTGTTTTGCTTCTCTATTAGTTTGCCTCTAATTCAAATAAATTCCACACATGATATAAACTTACTTGTATAGATATCAAATCTATGCATAATGCCAAATACTAATGGTGAAGTATGCTTGTTAAAACAACCCAAAAGATGAACCTAAATTTACATAAGCCTCCAGATCTACAGTTTACAGGAAATACTGATGATGCAGAACATGTTTAAGGCACCAGAGCAGTGAAATCAGACAAATCTACAAATCTAGAATGTAGGAAATACCAGAAAAGAAATGACTGTTTCTTCCACATATAGATGTAAAAGAGGCTCCCCTGGAAGCTCAGCTAGTAAAGAATCCACCTGCAATGCAGAAGACCCTGGTTCGAATCCTGGGTCGGGAGAATCTCCTGGAGGGCATGGCAAACCCACTCCAGTATTCTTGCCAGGAGAAGTCCCATGGACAGAGGAGTCTGGCGGGCTACAGTCCACGGGGTTGCAAAGAGTCAGACACAACTGAGCGACTAAGCACAGCACAGCACAGCACAGCACACAGATGTAAAAAAGAAGGCAACTATTATATATAATGTATGAAGCTCATTTGGTTTTTGGTTCAAATAAAACAACTCTAAAATACTAGGAGTGCACTTGGAACATTGTAGTTCAACTATACTTCAATTATATATATATATATATATATATATATATATATATATATATATTTAATACTGCTGAAACTCCAATACTTTGCCCACCTCATGTGAAGAGTTGACTCACTGGATAAGACCCTGATGCTGGGAGGGATTGGGGGCAGGAGGAGAAGGGGATGACAGAGGATGAGATGGCTGGATGGCATCACCGACTCGATGGACATGAGTTTGAGTGAATTCTGGGAGTTGGTGAAGGACAGGGAGGCCTGGCATGCTGTGATTCATGGGGTCGCAAAGAGTCGGACATGACTGAGCGACTGAACTGAACTGAACTGACTGATATTTAATACTAGGGAAAACTGAGCACTGAGTATCAGATGATATTAAGAAATTATATTTTGCTATGTGTGATAATAGTATTATGGTTGATTTTTACAAAATCCTTATTTGTTGAAGACATGTACCAAGGTATTTCTGGATGAAATGATGTCTGAGACTTACTTTAAAACTCATTAAGACAAAGTGCTGAGGAAAGATAAGAATGTCAAGAGAGGGAATTCCCTGATGGTTTAGTGGTTAGGACTCCAGACTTCCACTGTAGGAGGCATGGATTCAATCCCTGATTGGGGAACTAAGTTCCCACAAGCTGTGCAGCACGGTCAAATAAATAAATAAATAGGCACTCATCAGGGTAACACTCACAAGAAATTAGGAGCATCAACTACTAGCCTGTAATTCTAAACACACAATATATAGCTTGCTTTTTTTTTAAATTCCAAGGATAGGTAAAAGTAGCCTATATCTTCAAAAGTATCAGTACTATTAAGACTGAGGAACTATTCCAAATTAAAAAGAAATGACAATTAAATGCAATATATGATCCTAGGTTGGAAAAAGAACGTTGGGACAAAAAAATGTATTGGGGTGGTCAGAAAAATCTGACTATGAATTTTATTTTCGATAACAGCACTGTGTCAATGTTAAATTCCCCAAATTTCATCACTGCATTGAGGTTATATGAGGATGTCTTTGGGCTTAGCTGAGATGCAGACTGAGGTATTTAGAGGTAAAGGGTCATGATCTCTGCAACTTACTCTTAAATGTTTTGGGAAAAGAAAAAAGAATAAAAATAAATGTGTATGTTACTGTTCTATACATTAAATATATGCATCTATGTCTCTATATGTGGAGAGGGCAAGTAACAGTCCTACAACTTTTCTGAAATTATTTCAAAAAGTTTAAATAAGTAAAGTTATCAAAGCAATGAAATTTAAGAATTTATGGGGAATGGGTAGGGAGGTGGAGGGAGAGTCAGGATGGGGAACACATGTATACCCCTGGCTGATTCATGTGAATGTATGGCAGAAACCACCACAATACTGTAAAGTAATTAGCCTCCAATTAAAAAAAAAAAAAGAAAGAAAAAAAATTTATGAAGTACCTAAGTAGCCAAATCAGCTAATCCTTTTAAAGAACACATTTTTGTGCCCCAATTAATAGTGGTGAAAAATGAATACCAAAAAAAAAAGAGTCTACATTCCCTATTTAAAACCAGATTTTCATAAATTATCTCACCTTAATCCACACTGTCTGATTGATAAAGCTGAACGGTATGGATGGATTATCTGGTGTCTGCTTGTTTAGAATGCCGAAATTAACCGATTCTTTGGCGATTCGGGGTGGAGTCCCAGTCTTCAATCTTCCCACCACAAACCCCAACTTCTCCAGAGTCTGAGCCAACCCTATGGAAGGCTGATCCCCTAAACGTCCTGCTGGATGCATCTCCAATCCGATTACAATCATGCCTCTCAGAAACGTCCCAGTAGTCAGAACCACACTCTCTGCATATACTGTACTTCCATCCGCTAAAGGACAGGAAAGAGAACAAAACTCATGTTCTAATTGTTACCATGGATCAAATTAGAATGTTACTCTTTTGTAGGAGAATTACAGAAAAATTTGTCTTTAGAAACTTGAAAAAGATTTTTTAAATCAGTAAGAAGGCTGTATGTTATCAATCTGAAGAATCCAAGAAAGCTGAGATGGAGAGCATAATGTATTATCACAGATACACATAAAAGTCTAGTCAGCACTGAATAGCTGGTCTCAGTTAATTTTTTAAATTAATTAAATTTAGACTTCTAGTTAAATTTAACAGATCCCACCTCACATGATTTCTTCTCCTTCTTAAAATTCCAAAAGAAAATAAAGGAGCAAAAAAGATATGAAACCACGAGAACCATAAGAATGGGAAACAACTTGTCAAAAGATGAAAAATTTCAAATATTTTTGAAAGATAGAAGGAGGCTGGGGGGATGGATAAATTAGGAATTTGGGATTAACATAAACACACCACAATAAATAAAATAGACAGTCAACAAGGACCTACTGTATAACACAAGGAACTCTACATAATATTCTATAATAACCTACAGTGGAAAAGACCCTGAAAAAAGAATGGATACATACATTATATATGTTTAGCTGAATCGCTTTACTGAACACCTGAAACTAACACAATACTGTAAATCAACCATACTCTAACATAAGATAAATTTTTTTAAAAAGTGGTTGGAAGAGTGATAACTGATTGAGCAGAGGGGAGAAAGCTATAACTCAGGAACCTGAAGAGAACATACAGATGACAATGAAGTAATCTGCCCTGCAGAGGCTCAGAAACTGGAGGACTGAATGTGAGAAATGTAGGAGTGTAGCTGGGGGCCGAAGATGAGAGAAAGAGGTGAAACCCACATATAAAGGTTTGTCTACAGATGGATCTACCATAGAAGAAAATGCAGGTCTTGGGTAATAGGGAGTTACCGTTAATGGGTACAGTATTTCAACTAGATTTCAAAAGTTCTAGAAATGGAGAGTGCTGACAGCTGCACAACACTGTGCAAATGATGTGGAACTGTATACTTCAAAATGGCTACAATGGCAGACTTTATACATTTTACTACAATAAAAAACCGATTATTAATAAGCTATAATGGAAAAGACTGAAAAAGAATATGTATATATCACTTCACTGTACATCTGAAACATTGTAAATCAATTACACTTCAGTAAAAAAAGTTAATTAAAAATTGTATTGTTGAGCCCATAAAATATAGACAGGGTCCAAGAAATAGCATTTGAAGATACTAATTTAAGTAACAAGTAAAAATAATTCAAAAAGGATAAAGGGCTACCTAATAAAATCAATATAATCATCAAGTCTGGAGAGGAAAGGAGGCAGAGAGAAAGGGAAATGAAAATAAAAGTAGTAACTGTTCAACATAGGGAAGTCAGGAAACATTGAGAGAAGAAAGGGAAGATTAAGTGATTATACAAAATCATAGTTACTAAGGTAATCACAGAATAAAAGCCATGAACTTATAAGAAAGAAACATAGCTCCCAAAAAGCAAAGCAAAGACAGATTAAATGGTTAAAAAAAAAAGTACAGCAGAGTGTGTACAATATGTTACTACTATGTGTGGGGGTGGAATACATATACCTATGTGTGAAGTCCAAGTGTAAAATCACAGACAGACAGACCACACCAGAGCCTAGGAATGCTCCTGAGGAAGGAAACTGGCTGCCTGGAGCACAAGATGAGAGAGAGACCACCTTTTCACTCTACCTTCTTTCATCCCCTTTGAACTGTTGATGATGCAAAAGGAACATTTAAGTTTTCAAATACCTGTGATATTTTCTAGCTGTGGGACTTGGGGAAACTACGTGAACTTTACGAAAGTTGGGTTTCTAATCTATAAAAAAAGATATGCCTACATCATAAATTACTCATACAGAATTTTAAAAATTCAGGTGGAATATAGAGCAATTGAAAATTTCTTCAGACCCCTGGCTTTAATTGCCTGTGGTAAATGGCAATTTATTTTTTCTTAAAAAAATTTTTTTTAGGCATTAGCTGGCTGCAGCTACCATGTTTTTTTATTATTAAGGTTGCAATTATTTATTAAGTAATTCATAATTATTTATTAAATATTTTATTATAATCTATTAAATCCTTACTGTGTGCCAACCTCAACCTCAAGTCATATTTTCTCATTTCATGAAATACACACTACTCTCCCAATTTTGTAGATGAACAAACTGAAACCCAAAGCTGAGTCTGAACACAAGTCTAATTCCAAAGCACCTTCTCCAGTAAATGTATTTTCTTTTTTACTCTTTAATTCCACCAAATTCCTCACAGTAAAGTTTGAGCAGTATCATTCTGCTTTTCTTCATTTTGTCTTTCCTTTTTCCTTTTAGAGGATAACTGCTTTACAACGCTGTGTTGGTTTCTGCCATAGAATAGCTACACGAATCAGCCAGACGTACACATATGTCCCCTCCCTCTTGAACCTTCCCTCCGACTCCCCACTGACCCCACCCCCCTAGGTTGTCACAGAGCACTGGGCTGAGCTTCCTGTATGATACAGCAACTTCCCACTTGCTATCTATTTTACACATGGTTATGTATATGTTTTAATGCTACTCTCTCATTCTGTCCCACACTCTTCTTCCCCCACTGTGTCCACAAGTCTGTTCTCTATGTCTGTGCCTCTATTGCTGCCCTGCAAATAGGTCCATCAGTATCATTTTTCTATATTCCATATGTATGCGTTAATATATGGTATTTGTTTTTCTTTCTGACTTACTTCACTCTGTATAACAGGCTCTAGGTTCATCCATCTCTCACTAGAACTCACTCAAATTTGTTCCTTTTATGGCTGAGTAATATTCCATTCTGTATATGTACCACAACTTCTTTCTCCATCCATCCATCAGTGGACATCTAGGGTGCTTCCGTGTCCTGGCTATTGTAAATAGTGCTGCAATGAACATTGGGGTACATGTGTCTTTTTGAATTATGAAGTTTTCTCAGGGTATATGCCCAGTAGCAGGATTGCTGCATAGTATGGCTACCACAGTATTCGATTATTGTTTTTACTTGTAACACCAGATATATTCAACGCCTATGTGGGATGTAAATTATAGGTGATATATTTATGTCATGATAGAACTCTCAATGTAAGTAATTCCATACCCAACTGACACTCTTTCTTGACTAGTAACTCTAATTTTCCTTGGGTGAAATATACTAATTAAGAATATTTATCTTCTCACACCAACTTGAGGCCATAGAAGGTCATTAGGATGCAGTTTTTGCCAATGGACTTCAAGAAGATGCTGGGCTAGACTTCTATTAATAGGAAAGTGGAAATCCTATTTAAAAGGAAATGCAGCGTGTTTGCTCTGTCTTTATTTGGTCTTTACCCTTTCCCTCTTTTTCGTTTTCTTTCTGATATGATAATGGATACCTGGGTGTGTGACTTTGGTCTTATGAACACTGGAATGAAAGCTACAGCCAAAGGTGATAGAGCAGGACAATGGAAGGGGCAAGGGTGTCTGGTGACATGGCTAGGACTTTCATAACAATGTGGATTGTCTACCCATGTCCTTCTTATTGTGTAAGACAAATACACTCATTTTTTCCTAAGTAAAAAAATAAAAAAAACCCAACAACACTTTACCATGTATATGTATATCCCATTCTAAAAAATAAACCTATGATAAAATTGAAACAGAAAATTAGTTAATATCTGTATTTTAAATGATGAAGTTTTTATGGCTGATTTGAGTTGTTGTGCAGCAGAAACCAACACAACATTGTAAAGCAATTCTCCTCCAATTAAAAAAAAAAAGTATACATTTCTCCAGCGCAGCCCCTCCTACCACTTTCTGCCTGGAAAGCTAACAATCTGGTCCTCTGGCAGAAGACTGAGTCTTCTCCTGAGCACTAACAGACACAGATGTTTGGGAATTCCCCAGCAAAAAGGCCATTTCAATCCCTAAGCATTAGACTGTACAGAGTCAGTCAAACCATAAAACAACTGTGCACACACAAATCTTCCAATTAGTGTTTGCAGTGAAGGCTAAAAAGGCTGAAGTGCTTAAGTCTTTAAGGGGAGAAAACAGAGACAAACTGCTTTTCCATTCAAACTTAAATTCTATTTAATTTCTGTAAAAAACATGTGCATGTGCAATTTTATTTTAAAAATTAATATATAACTCAAACAAATACATAATAATCTTGTGAAATAGAAATTTAAAATGTCTCAAGTCAGAACTAAGAAAAATAAAAATGGCCACAGAAATACCAAGAGGAAAATACACAATTATGCAGGTTATAGAGTCCCAAAATAAGGTGGTACAGAATGTGAGCTTCATGGTGAAAATGAAATGAGGAATAGGATTTTTTCTATACAGTTTCCCTCATACTTGAACAGAAAACACAACAATTTCTTAGAATAAGCAAAACCCCTCCAGAAGCTACTCAGAATAAACTTTTCACATGGAGTTTGATACTGTCACTATCATCTGTAAGCAGTACATACCCAAAACCACGCCACTGACACGGTATTTCCCAGTGTGCTCAGGCTCTGGTTCTGTAAGAATGAGATCTTCCACAGCTCCCTCCTGAACAGTAAGCCGCGGTGTATTGAGGATCTCGTTCTATCAAAAGAGAATGCAAGTTGAAAAGAACAGTTAAATAATCACTACAATCCTTTCTGTTTTTGTGCCCTGTTCTTACCTGCATATTCTGCTTATAAAGCTTCCTATCAATTTGAGCTCTCAGACCCCAAACAGCTGGTCCCTTGCGCCGGTTTAATACTTTGTAATGTATACCAGACTGGTCACAGATTCGAGAACACAGGCCATCCAAGGCATCGACTTCCCTCATTAAATGCCCCTTTCCAATGCCGCCAAAGGAAGGATTACAGGACATCTGACCTAAAGAGAACAGATATAAACAAAATAAATATACGAGCATCTTCCACATAGTGCATGTTGATAGGGAAATGTTTGTACTAATGACTAGAATCACGTGACTAAAAATAAAACACTTGAAGCAAACACTAAAACTGCTGAAGTCCTAATGGGATGCAAGAGTTATTCAGGGCATCTTGGAAGACAAACCATTGCTGGAAGTTTCTTTTGAATCTTTCTCTTGTACATATTTGTAGCACTTCATTATGCTGCCTTTTCCTTCACAATGTGATTTTGAAAACCTTACCTCATGAAACCTTCCTAAATCAAGCATAATTTACGAAATTTCTTCGTACTGGTTCACAGTTACAGTCAATTAATGTCTTCCATAAAGGCCAACTGCTGATCCTCTGTGGCCAGCATCAAGGCCTCCAAAAGATTTCATGGTCTCCAGAGAGAGGCTGAATAGTGCGGTCATTATGAGCATGGTTAGAAGCAAGGCAGAGTTCTGGTTCAGTTCCTATACTTACCACTTAGCGCTACGTGATCTTGGCCAGTTGTCTAATAGTCTGTATCTCAGTGTCCCTACTGTAAAAACAGGGATGACAGCTGCGCAGATTATTTTCCTCCTCCTTTTGTTATAGAATCGCTATTTATTTAGGTAAACACTCCTCCCGATGAGGCTTTGCGTTTGGGGAGTGTGATCTAAACTTAGTTTAGGGATAAATCTTTACTGATCTAAAGTAATCCTGTTCCTACTTGCCAGTGAGTGGTTTAGCGTTAAAAGACTTTTCTCTTTAGTCATGAATGGCAAACAATAGTTTGTCAAAAAGCACTATTTCCGAGGTTATTAATAAAATAAAAAATTTTCGACCTCTGACTTTATTATGGCAGATGACACGACTGAATTGATACAGGACAATTCCTGCATTCTGTATTCCTATGGAATTTTAACCTTCTAAGTCAAAGCTATCTTTCTGAGAACAAGCAGAAATACTTCATACTCCACTACATCAAAGAACCTTAAAAAAATGAGACTTTGATTTTAAGATAGAACTGTCATTCATTAAGCTCATTTATAAGAGTTATTAAATATCTCTGAAATCCATTTATTTAAAAAGAAAACTTAGGTCACTGTATTGGCATAAAAATATAAATACAGGTTTTGATGGGAATTCCTTTATCCCTGACAAAACTACACCACTTATACTATTATCTGATCATCTTAGTTCAATAATATACTTTTTTGTTCATTCAACTTCTACAGAAAGTGAAGTTAACATTTCAATTACTGATGACTCGTAAGCAAAATGCACGAGGAAAGACATAGGCATGCATAATTTACAAGATAGTGTCCTAGCTGGCATCTATGATGATGCCAGAGAGGGGTCTTGCTTTAAATTATGGCCGTCCAAACACTGCTTGTGAAGTGCCAAAAAGCACAGTCGGGTCCTAGCCATAAAATTGGGGAATAAACATTCAGTATGAATATAAAATACAGTAGCCTCGTTCTTCAAAAGGGTTTCACAAAATCTCCAGAAAAACACAATGGGTGTTTAATAATAAACGAGTACCAATAACGTTGATTCACTTTTTAACCGAGGCAACAAGATGGTAAAGACCAAATGGCAACATTGAAATAAAGTATCAGCAGTATTCTTAAGAGTTTGCTCTTTTCTCAAGGCATCTCTCCCCCATCCCTCCTCCAACTAATTACTTCTGTCAACAGCAGCACAATTCGTGGTCCACAGAATAGCCGAGTCCAGAGTTCTGGCTCGGTGCCGCCACACACATCAGGCTAAAACAACGTTCCGCAGGATTCTCACCAGACTTACAGAGGAAAAGGCACTGGGAGGGGGAGAAGGACCCTGGCAGCGTGCGTCTCTCGGCAAGCCTCACACCGCGCCACTCACCGATGGTGTCCACCCGGTGCGTCAGCAGCAGAGTCCGGGAGCCGCACCGAGCTGCTGCGGCGGCGGCTTCGGTCCCTGCGTGTCCTCCGCCGATGACCACCACGTCGAAGTGCGGGGTCCAGGGCGCCGCGCTGTCACCGCCGAACCGGGCCGACGCAAGGTGCTGTTTGGTGAGGGAAGCCGCGAGCCGGCGGCCACAGCCTCGGATATAGAACATTGCTGGAGAAAAGCAGCGTCTGTAACTCGGATCCTGACACTAGCGAAGGGAAAACAGTAGAGAAAGCCTTCAAGGGGCAGCCATCTTGTTATGATGTCACAGCGTCACGTCTACGTCCAGCGTCGCCGCTGATTGGCAGTTTGGCGAGACTTTCCTGGCGAAGCGTGTTGGAGTGTGTGCATGTGGATTGGTGCGTGTGTACCTCGTTTCTTGCCTGGCGGAGGCTGTTGGATTACCTATGGTTGGAGAAGGGGACGACAGAGGATGAGATGGCTGGATGGCATCACCGACTCAATGGACATGGGTTTGGGTGGACTCCGGGAGTTGGTGATGGACAGGAAGGCCTGGCGTGCTGCGGTTCATGGGGTCGCAAAGAGTCGGACACAACTGAGCGACTGAACTGAACTGAATCTCGTTTCTTGCCTGGCGGAGGCTGTTGGATTACCTTTGGTTCTGGATTTGGGGCGGGGACTTCTACTCAGTCATCTTTTGTCCTTTTCAGCGAATTGCTGCCCTCATCACCAGGTGACTGCCTATAAACAATAATTTAGGTCCTTTTGCTTTATATGAGTCTTTGAAATTTCTAGTGCAGCCATCACCTTGCCTTCTGTTTATGAAGATTAGAGTCTGAATAGCGATAGATTCCAGAGACATTCAAATGTATTTGTGGATGAAAGGTTCATGATGGCTCGTTAGAAGAACTGAAGAATTGAAGGTTAAATGTCCAGCCTTTTGGAACTGATACTTTTAAAACCTGTATGTGGTCAGGTACATCCCCTGCTCATCTCCTAGTCAGCCAGTGTCTACCTCACCTACACCCTACTCACACGACTGACCTTCCTACATACTGTTGCCCCAGGCCCTAGCTTGTGACCGCTGAACAAAGGGCTGCTGAGGGGGTCATGTCCCAGTTACTTCACCATGTAACTGCTAACCTCCCCCTTCCACTGGGAGGGAATTCTGCCGCTGTGGTCTGTCCTCCTTCCAAGGTACACAGTGGGGTGTCGCTCGAGGACCTTGCTGCAGACTAGTAAGCACTCCCTGTCCCTTAAACCATTGATGTCTCTGTGCTGACTCCAGGCTGTTTCTTCAGTTTTGAAGCTGTGCAAACACACCCTGGTGGTGATGGGGAAGGGTAGTGTGCAACCCAACACTTTCCTTAGAGAGGAAACTTTTCACTGGTTGGATTGTAAAATAATCCATATGGCTGTTTTATTATTCTGATTATTAATATCTATAGAATACATAATTTTTGTTATTACATTATTAGTATTTTTGTTTTTGTTTTTGTGTGTGTGTGTGCAATAAAGTTTTATTAAAGTATAAAGGAGATAGAGAAAGCTTCTGACATAGACATCAGAAGGGGGTAGAAAGAGTACCCTAGTAAGTATTTTTTATACGCAGTTTAGAGCTTACAGAAATACAAAACTTTGAGAGTTAAGGAACTTGTAACTTCCATTGGGCCTTCCAACTTTCATCTCTGTAATAATTGTCAGCATTTTGTTGCTAATGCCTCCTAATTTTTATTTATTAATTTGACTGCACCAGGTCTTATTTGTGGCATGCGAACATAGTTGTAGCATGTGGAATCTAGTTCCTCTGACAGGGATGGAACCCAGGCCCCCTGCATTGGGAGCCTGGAGTTTTAGCCACTGGACCACCAGGGAAGTCCCAGTGTCTCATTTTTTATAGTTATACTAATGCTACTATTATTTTGCACATGTAATATATTACATGTGATTACATTGTTTTTTAGTTTGCTACTTTTTTAAACAATGTATTTTTTTCTGTCTATGCCAATATATATGAATCTATCTCACTTTTTAGTGATACAGTCAGTTGTTTATATGAACCATAGTTTAGTTCTGAGTGGATGGCTGCAGCAGTTGGCTGCTAGGTGGTGGGCATCCCTGGTTCCCATCCTGTGTTCTCTCAGGGCTCACCATCCAGACATGTGGTGGCTGGATAGCTCCAACATCCTTTGTTTACCCATAGGGCAGGCAGCACTCTTGGGTCACATTTCTAATTTTTTGATATTATGGTCATCTTTGTACATATATCTTTTAAAAGTTCTGGGACTCTTGGGCTTCCTTGGTGGCTCTGGGGTAAAGAACTCACCTGCCAACGCAGGGGACACGAGTTGGATCCCTGCCTGATCTGGGAGGATCCCACCTGCTACAGAGCAACTAAGCCCATGGGCCACAACTACTGGCAGCCCGTGCACTGCAACTTGAGACTAGTCCCCGCTTGCCACAACTAGAGAAAAAGCCCTCACAGCAATGAAAACTCAGCAGAGCCAAAAATAACTAAATACAGACGAATAAATAAAAATCCTTTTTAAAAAAAGTCACAGGACTCATCATAAGTGAAAATTCTGGGTAAAAGAACTCCTCAGTGTTTTTCATCACTACTAAATTAACTTTCTAAAATCTTTGTGTCAGGTTGCACGGACAGTGTAAGATTATTTCATCTCATGGTAGCCGGCACTGGATTTTAGTTAAGTTTTAATTATAAATGTATTTTCATTATCTTTTAAGGAAAATGTGGTCATACTGTGATCTGTGTACGGTGTTTTGTAACCTACTTTTTCACATAATAGTTTATCATGGACATTTTTCTATGCCAAGGAATACAGGTTTTATGTCATTTTCAAGGCTACACAATGTACTGTTTTATTAGTAAGTATTTTTAAATTAGTAGCTTGAGACTTTGATTAGAGAATCTCAGGCCTACATTTTCAATTTGACTATTCCCTTCCCATGGTGTATATTTATTTTTAACAGTTTATTTATCTACTGGCTGTGCTAGTCTGTGCTGCTGCGTGGGCCTTCCTCTAGTTGTGACCAGCAGGGGCTGCTCTCTAGTTGCTCTGCACAGGCTTCTCATTGTGACTTAGCTTGTTGCAGAGCACAAGCTCTAGGGCGCGCAGGCTTCAGTATTTGCAGCTCCTGGATTCTGGAATAAAGGCAAAGTGAGCTGCAATTACAGAGGGCATGATCCTGCCCACGGCAGATGATAGGAAATGCTCGCTTCTTAAAAGAATTGGTTTATGAAATGGACTTGAAGTCAGTCATCCTAAAAGGAAAGCACAGTGGTTGGATTCTTTATTATCTGGCCTCCAGATACCTTTCTTAGTCTTTTTTTCTTTTGCATTTGCTGTTCCTTCAGCCTGCAACACATTTTTCCTTTTACTCTTGCCCTGCACCCATGTCTCCCCACAAACGTTATGGTATTTCATGCTTAAAAAAAGAGTAGCATTCATCACACGAGGAAGTTAATTGTAGGCAAGAAGGTGGACATTTTATATGTTAATACTTTTTCCCTTCACAGCTGTTTCTTTCTTGTTTTTGTAACACTGGATTATAACATTATGTGTTTCCCCTGTACCATATTATGGGCTTGCCAGTTGGCACTAGTGATCGAGAATCTGCCTACCAATGCAGGAGACACAAGAGACCCAGGTTTGGTGTGTGGGTTGGAACCCTGGAGAAGGAAATGGCAACTCACTCCGGTATTCTTGCCTGGAGAATTCCATGGACAGAGAAACTTCACAGGCTGCAATCCATGGGGCTGCAGAGAGTCGGACATAACTGAGGAGGCACTACACAAGGGTACTTACCACCAAAAATTTTGTGTCCATCAGTCACTGTACAGTGACCCCTTTTACCCATTCACCCTCCCTCCACTCCCTTTTCTCTCTGGTAACCAATGCTCTGCTCTGTATATCTATGTGTCTGTTTTCATTTGGTTTGGTTAGTTCACTTTTTTTTTTTTAATTCCACCTATTTGTAAAATCACATGCTATTCTTTTCCATTTGACTTATCTCACTTAGCATAATAGCCTCAATATTGTTTCAAATGGAAAGATTTCATCTTTTAATGGCTGAGTAGTATTCCATTGTACATATAGACCCATCTTCTTTATTCATTCATCTGTCAATGGACACTTAGGATGTTTCCATATCTTGCCTATTGTTAATTTTAATAATACTGTGGTGAACATAGGGCTACATATCTTTTCAAATTAGTGTTTTCTTATTCGTCAGATAAGTACCCAGAAGCGGAGTAACGGAATCATATGGTACTTCTTTGGGCTTCCCTTGTGGCTTAGCTGGTAAAGAATACACCTGCAATGTGGGAGACCTGGGTTTGATCCCTGGGCTGGAAAAGGGAAAGGCTACCCGCTCCAGTACTCTGGGCCAGAGAATTCTAGGCCAGAAGAGTCGGACAAGACTGAGCAACTTTCGCTAAAATAGTGAGAGAATGGCATTTGAGCAAAATTTAAAGGAAGGGATGCCCAGGGGAAGAGTGTGGGTTATCCCCTGATTGCCTCTCAGCTTCAAACATGCCCTTCAATAAAAGCTTACTGATAAACAGAATTCCTTTAAGCATTTCCCTTTACTTATTTTAAACTAATTATATATTTAAGAAGCATTTTGCCTTTGCTGGGTCTTTGTTGCTGCGTGTACTTTTTCTCTGGCTGTGGCAAGCCATGGCTACTCTCCGGTTGCAATGCTCAAGCTTCTAATTGCTGTGGCTTCTCTTGTTGCAGAGCATGGACTCTAGGCAAGTGGATTCTTTACCAACTGAGCTATCAGGAAAACAGTAGAATGGGAAGGACTAGAGATCTCTTCAAGAAAATTAGAGATACCAAGGGAAGAGTTCATGCAAAGATGAGCACAATAAAGGATAGAAATGGGATAGACCTAACAGAAGCAGAAGATATTAAGAAGAGGTGGCAGGAATACAAGCAAGAACTGTACAAAAGAGATCTTAATGATCCAGATAATCATGATGGTGTGATCACATATAGAGCTAGATATCCTGGAGTCTGAAGTCAGGTGGGCCTTAGGAAGCATCAAACATAGCTAGTGGAGGTGATGGAATTCCAGTTGAGCTATTTCAAGGCCTAAAAGATGATGCTGTTAAAGTGCTGCACTCAATATGCCAGCCAATTTGGAAAACTCAGCAGTGGCCACAGGACTGGAAAAGTCAGTTTTCATTCCAATCCCAAAGAAAGGCAATGCCAAAGAATGTTCAAACTACAGCACAATTGCACTCATTTCACACGTTAGTAAAGTAATGCTCAAAATTCTCCAAGCCAAGCTTCAACAGTATGTGAACAGAGAACCTCCAGATGTTCAACCTGGATTTAGAAAAGGCAGAGGAACCAGAGATCAAATTTCCAACATCCGTTGGATCATAGGAAAAGCAAGAGAGTTCCAGAAAAACACCTACTTCTGCTTTATTGACTACACCAAAGCCTTTGACTATGTGGATCACAACAAACAGACTGGTTGCAAATTGGGAAAGGAGTACGTCAAGGCTGTATACTGTCACCCTGCTTATTTAACTTATATGCAGAGTACATCTCGTGAAATGCCAGGCTGGATGAAGCACAAGCTGGAATCAAGATTGCCGGGAGAAATATCAATAACCTCAGACAAGCAGATGACACCACCCTTATGGCAGAAAGTGAAGAGAAACTGAAGAGCCTTTTGATGAAAGTGAAAGAGGAGAGTGAAAAAGCTGGCTTAAAACTCAACATTCAGAAAACTAAGATCATGGCATTTGGTCCCATCACTTCATGGCAAATAGATGGGGAAACAGTGGAAACGGTGACAGACTTTATTTTCTTGGGCTCCAAAATCACTGCATATGGTGACTGCTGCCATGAAATTAAAAGACGCTTGCTCCTTGGAAGAAAAGCTATGACACACCTAGACAGCATATTAAAAAGCAGAGACATTACTTTGCCAACAAAGATCCGTCTATTCAAAGCTATGGTTTTCCCAGTAGTCATTTATGGATGTGAGAGTTCGACCATAAAGAAAGCTGAGCACTGAAGAATTGATGCCTTTGAACTGTGGTGCTGGAGATGACTCTTGAAAGTCCCTTGGACTGCAAGGAGATCCAACCAGTCCATCCTAAAGGAGATCAGTCCTGAATATTCATTGGAAGGACTGATGCTAAAGCTGAAGCTCCTATACTTTGGCCACCTGATGCGAAGAACTGACTCATTTGAAAAGACCCTGATGCTGGCAAAGATTGAAGGCAGAGGAGAAGGGGACACTAGAGGATAAGATGGTTGGACATGAGTTTGAGCAAGCTCCAGGAGTTGGTGATGGACAGGGAGGCCTGGCATGCTGCAGTCCATGGGGTTGCAAAGAGTTGGACATGACTGAGCGACTGAACTGAACACTATTTTAGTATTGTACAATTCCTCATTCCTGATTTTTCTTGCATTATTTTTTTTTTCCTGCACTATTTTCCCCAGTAGCTCAGACAGTAAAGAATCTGCCTGCAAGTTGGGATCCCTGGCACAGGAAGATCCCCTGGAGAAGGGAATGGCTACCCACTCCAGTATCGTTGGACAGAGGAGCCTGGCAGACCATAGTTCATGGGATCGAAAAGAGTCAGACATGACTGAGCGACTAACACTTCACTTCAACCGTAAGTGGTCCCAGGTTCCATATGTTATTTGGGCTTCCTTGGTGGCTCAGATGGTAAAGAATCTGCCTGCAGTGCAAGAGACCATGTTTGATCCCTGGGTCAGAAAGATCCCCTGCAGAAGGGAATGGCAACCTACTCTAGTATTCTTGCCTAGAGAATTCCATGGACAGAGGAGCCTGGTGGGCTACAGTCCATGGGATCCCAAAGAGTTGGACATGACTGAGAGACTTTCACTTCTTTTAATACAGCTCATCATTATCTATGAATACGGGGTAATTTATGTATGTATTATTTTATTATGTGTTTCTCCCTGCCAGAGTGCAAGCTCTAGGAGGGCAAGATTTTTGTTTATCAGTATGTCCTGAATGCCTAGGGTTGAGCTTGGCACATAGTATTTGTGGCAAATATTTGTTGAATAAGTGAATTACTGAGACAAACATGGGACATAAAAGAAAAGATACAAAATCATATAGGTAAAATATATACCCACAAGCAAATCTCTTGTTTTTTCCTACCTGATAAAGTCCAAACTCCATAAAGTCTTTCCTTCTGTGATTTGGACACTGATTGCTGCTGCAAGATTGAGCAAGGAATAAGTTTTCATCTTTTGACAGGTCAGCAGAAGAGGTATTTGTGGTCTGTTGGCCTGTTGCTTGTACGCTTTTGGTTAAGCTAACACTAGTGCACTTTGGAAACAGCTAGAAGATAGCATTAAGCCAGCTGCCTTGGCATTTACAGGATTTTAGGACAGGCATGAAGCCCTTGGAGGACAAAAACAGAACCATAGAGCAGAGGTCTTCCATGTGGAAGAGGCATACTCCTGCACATCCTGGAAGACAGTCCAAGGGACCTGCAGTTTTAAGGAAATGGCTTCCATCTTTCAACTTCCGTTTTACTCTTGCCTGAAATTGGTCTGCTTGAGAAGAAGTCTGACTACATACTAGTCCTCCTTCCATTTTACAAAAGAAAAACATCTCTTAGAATTCAAAGAGAAGGATATGTCAAAATACTAGTTTCAAAGAAAGCTTTTAGAAAATTAATCAAGCCATTTTGTCCCTTGACAGATGAATTGAAAACAATGTGTGGTACATACATGTCATCAGTTCGTCACTCAGGCTCAGTTGTGTCCGACTGTTTGTGACCCCATGGACTGCACCACACCAGGCCTCCCTGCCTGTCACCCACTCTGGAGTTTACTCAAACTCATGTCCATGGAGCCCGTGATGTCATCCAACCCTCCCATCCTCTGCCGTCCATTTCTCTGCAGACATATAATACAATGAAGTTACTCAGCCTTAAAAAGGAAGGCTGAGGTGTGCTACAACATAGAGAAACCTTGAGGACTTTATTATTGAATAAGCTCATCATGAAAGGAAAAATACTGTATGATTCCACTTACATAAGGAACCTAGATGGTCAGATTCAGAGACAGAAAGTAGAAGGGTGCTTTCCAGAAGTCAGAGCAAGCAGGAGGGAATGGGGTGTTTAATGGGTAGAGTTTCAGTTTTTCAAGATGAAGAGTTCTGAGACTGATGGTGGTGATGGTTTCACACTGAACTGTACACTTAAAATGGTTAGGATGGTTAAAAAAAACTACCAAGGCATGCCAGACCTAGGACTTTCTATCAAATATGTATTTCTGTAAAGGACTTGCTTGGCTTTAGAAATCGATACTTGAAAGCCTCTGGAATCACAACGACCGAAGCAATATTAAATATTTAAAATATAAGTGCCGTTTTCTGATGGGCTTTTGAGAACCAGTGGATAAAACTCACCAATAAGAACTTTACACTTTAAGATTGTAAGTGCTTTTAAAACGATGGTTTTTTTTAAAGGTTAATATTACATATTCAATCCACATTATTCAATCCGATTATTATTCAATATTCAATCCATATTATTCCACTTGGTTAAAAAATCCTTTGCTATTTACTATTAATAAGAAAATCCTTTATTTAAACTTGCATTTAGAAAGTTGCTCCGTCAAGTTCAATGCGTGAGATAGTTTTTCCCAAATGTTCTTAGGCGATAGGCCATTAAACGCCTCTCGCTTTCAAAGCTCGGGAAGCTCTTCTGCGCTTTCCTGGGTTCGGTTCTGCCAGGTTCCCAAGCCACAAGGCAGAGCTGGATGCAAGGAAATCCAGCGGACACCCGGGCGCGCGCGCGTGCGCGCGGGGGCGGGGACGTGCCTCCGCGTGACCGCCCAGCCCGGGCTGGCTTTCCCGGCTGGCGTTCGCTCAGTTCCCGCCACATTTTTAAGTTTCATTTCCCACCGCGAATGCCGGCTCCTCCTCCCGCGCGGCCTGTTCCCGGAGCTGGTCTCCCTCAGGGGAACAAGAGAACGCCAGCCATGGCCCCACCGCGGGGAAAGGCGACGCGGAGAGCTTCGGAAACCGCCTCCGGGGTTTCGGCGCCGGGTGTGAAGGGCGGCGCTACCGCGGAGCCCAGCGAGCCCGCGGCTGTCCCAAAGGCCGCCCGGCCTGGCGCGCGCAGGTGCGGTCCCGCTGGGGCGTCGGGGTCCGGGAGGAAGAAGCCGCAGGTGCGCGCGCGGGCAGCCCGCGCCGAGGACCAGGCGGAGGGGCCGGCGGCTCCGACCGCAGACGCAGAGCCTCCCGCGGTCCCCGGGCACCCCCTGCCCAGGGCTACCGCTCGCAGCCGGGCGACCGCGCGCTCCGCTCGGGCGGGGAGACCCCAGTCCGGGCCCCCGGAAGGCCCCGGCCCCGGCCCGCGGGCCCCCGCCCCGCATCTCGGGCAAAGGGAGGAGGCGCCCGGCGCCTGGAAGCCCCGGGCCGTGCTGGAGAAGTTGAGGCTGAAACGTCAGGAGATCTCCGTGGCGGCGGCGATGGTGAACACGCTGGTGGACCACCTGCTGCGGCGGCTGAATAGCCGCGAGTCGGAGTTCAAAGGCGTCGACCTGCTCCGCTCCGGGAGCTACTACGAGCGCGTGAAGGTGAGCCGCCGGGCGCCGCCACCGCAGTTCCCGGGCGAATACCCACCTCTAAGGTGCCCCTCACTTCTCTTCGGAAGTAATGCTTGAGTGGCCTGTGACACTGATTTGATTTGGCTTTCCCTGTAGATTGTAAGCTGCACGGTCGGAGAATGTTTTACACATTTTGAACCCTGTATGGCTGCTCATTTTATTGGTGTGGACTCAGTGCTATTTGAAGTTCAGTGTTGAAGCTGAAACTCCAATACTTTGGCCACCTGATGCGAAGAGCTTACTCATTTGAAAAGACCCTGATGCTGGGAAAGATTGAAGGCGGGAGGAGAAGGGGACGACAGAGGATGAGATGGTTGGATGGCATCACCGACTCAATGGGCATGTGTTTGAGTAAACTCCGGGAGTTGGTGATGGACAGGGAGGCCTGGCGTGCTGCAGTCCATGGGGTCGCAAAGAATCGGACACGACTGAGTGACAACTGAACTGAACAGTGCTATTTGAGCTTCCGGGTTAGCACAGTGGTTAAGAATCTGTCTGCCAATGCGGGTGACCTGAGTTCGACCTCTGGATGGCGAAAATCCCCTGGAGTAGTTGTTGTTCGGTCACTAAGTCGTGTTTGTCTGACTCTTTGCCACACCATGGACTGCAGCACGCCAGGCTTCCCTGTCCTTCACCATCTCTGGGAGTTTGTTCAAACTCCTGTCCATTGATTGTGTGATGCCATGGAACCATCCCATCCTCTGTCTCTCCCTTCTCCCCCTGCCCTCAATCTTTCCCATCGTCAGAGTCTTTTTCCAGTGAGTCAGCTCTTCCAGGTGGCCAAAGTATTGGAGCTTCAGCTTTAGCATCAGTCCTTCTAATGAATATTCAGGGTTGATTTACTTTAGGATTGACTGGTTTGATTTCTCTGCTGTCCAAAGGACTCTCAAGAGTTCTCCAGCACCACAGTTTGAGAGCATCAGTTCTTCACACTCAGCCTTCTTGAAGGTCCAACTCCCACATCCATACATGACTACTGGAAAAAGCATAGCTTTGACTAGATGGATGTTTTTTGGCAAAGTGATGGTTCTGCTTTTTAATACACTGTCTAGGTTGGTCATAGCTTTTTTTCTAAGGAGCAAGTGTCTTTTAATTTCATGGCTGCAGTCACTGTCCACAGTGATTTTGGAGCCCAGGAAAATAAAATCTGTCACTGTTTCTATATTTTCCTCTTCTATTTGCCATGAAGTGATGGGACTGGATGCCATCATCTTAGTTTTCTTAATGGTTTGAGTTTTAAGCTAGCTTTTCACTCGTCGCTTTCAGCTTCATGAAGAGGTTCTTTAGTTTCTCTTCATTTTCTGCCATTAGGTGGTATTATCTGTATATCTGAGCTTGTTGATATTTCTCCCTGCAATCTTGATTCCAGCTTGAGTTTCATCCAGCCTGTCATTATTTGCACTCTTCTGATGTACTCTTCATAGAAGTTCGTTAAGTAGAGTGACAATATACAGCCTTGACATACTTGCTTCCCAATTTGGAATCAGTCTGTTGTTCCATGTTTGGTTCTAACTGTTGCTTCTTGACCTGCATACAGATTTCTCAGGAGGCAGGTAAGGTGGTGTGGTATTCCCATCTCTTTAAGAATTTTCCACAATTTGTTGTGATCCACACAGTCAAAAGTTTTTAGCATAATCAGTGAAGCAGAAGGAGATATTTTTCTGGAATTCTCTTGCTTTATCTGTGATCCAGCAGATCTTGGCAATTTGATCTCTGGTTCCTCTGCTTTTTCTAAATCCAGCTTGTACATCTGGAAGTTCTTGGTTCACTTACTGTTGAAGCCTAGCTTGAAGGATCTTGAGCATTATTTCGCTGGCATGTGAAATGGGTGCAGTTGTGTGGTAGTTTGAACATTCTTTGGCATTGCCCTTCTTTGGAATTGAAATGAAAACTGACCTTTTCCAGTCCTGTGTCCACTGCTGAGTTTTCCAAATTTGCTGCCAGTTTGAGTGCAGCACTTATAACAGCATCATCTTGAAGGATTTTAAATAGCTCAGCTGGAATTCCATCATCTCCACTAGCTTTGTTTGTAGTAAAGCCTCCTAAGGCCCACTTGACTTCACTCTCCAAGATGTCTGGCTCTAGGTTAGTGACCACACCATCGTGGTTATCCGAGTCATTAAGACTTTTTTTTTTGGTACAGTTTTTCTGGAGTAGGAAATGGCAACCCACTCCAGTATTCTTGCCTGGAAAATTCCAAGGACTAAGGAGCCCGGCAGGCTACAGACCACGGGGTCCCCAAGTGTTGGACAGGACTGAGCAGACACGCATGCAGTAATATTTATCATAGGAAAATGTAGTGTATGTACCTGATTTTGGATCTTAAATGCTTTTAGCACTGAAGACCACTCATAATTTCATCTAAAGTTACTTGAAAGCCAAGTGAGCAAAACTTACATCAGACTGTCTTGAGCATGATTCTTATTACATAAATATCAAACTGTTCAGTTCTACGGATGGTTCAAAGGAAAAGAGAAAGTTATTAGTTAGAACTCAAGGACAATTAAGACATTTAGAGAGCAGTGTCCAATCAGAATCACTCTCCTTTTTATTTATTTTTTAAAAAACTTTATTTTATATTGGAGTATAGTTGATTAACAGTGTTGTGATAGTTTCAAGAGTACAGCAAAGTGATTCATTTATTCACATATATCTATTCTTTTTCAAATTCTTTTCCCATTTAGTTTGAGCAGAGTTCCTTGTTATCCATTGACAAGTCTCCTTTTTAAAATCAAGCTGATGAAAAGAAATCCAGCGAAATTTGTTTAATCTAAAACATGTATTGATTTTTAAAAATTGATTATAAAAGGTCTTCATGTTCATTTTAGAGTTGACCCACTGCCTGCCCTCCAGTAGACCATGGCACAGCAGTACCACCCCTCCGTACCTCTGTCCTCAGCCTCTCCCGTATTTGCTGCTGTTCTGTGTTGATGTCCCTGGAAAATTCAGGAAATTCAGAAAAGCACATAAAAGAACAGTGATATGGATGAATCTCACAAACAATGATGAATGAAAGAAGTAAAGAGTTCCTACTATATGATTTAGTTTATGTGATGTTCCCAAACAGGCAAACCTAACATTTGCTGTTAGACGTCAGGGTCGTGGCTACTCTTGGTGGAGGTTTCTGATCAGAAGTGGGAATGCTGCTGGGCGTGGCAGTAGAATGTCCACAAGGCTCACTGTCCTTACTGAGATTCAGCCGTTTTTCTTGAATAAATCCTCCTTGGATTGTTGCAGGTCATTTGGTTAACTTACAGAGATCTGAAAAAGCTGAATTTGACCATTTCTGGAGGAGTGGATTTTCAGAGTCTTGTACTTCATTCCCACGGGTGGCACTCCAAGTGTTTGTTTTACCCTTGTAGTATGTCCCAGTCAGCTTGGGCTGCCATAACAAAACGTCATAGACTGAGAGGCTTAAACAACAGACATTTATTTTCGCACAGTTCTGGAAGCTGGAAGTCCCTGATCGGGGTGCCAGAAGGGCTAGGTTCCGGTGAGGGCTCTCATCCGCTTTGCAGGCCTCGTCCCCGCGTCCTCACTGTGTTCCTCAGCACCTGTACAGAGCGCCACGGCTCATCTCACTTCTTCTAAATCCACCAGTCCTATCAACTAAGATCCTACCCTTAAGATCTCATTTAACCTTCATTAATTCCTAAAAGCCCTGTCTCCCAAGTACAGTCACATTGGGGGCTAGGGCTTCAGTATATGAATTTGGAGAGGATATAGTTCACATACCTCCTGGTACTAGCAACATTGACTTGGGGGGGTGGGCAAAAGACATAGGGCCTCCAGATAATTGTGTTCAATAAGACAGTCCAGTAGCTGTATTTGAAGCTCACCGCTAACGAGTGAAAGACTTGTGCATTTATAAAATTACTTTTTATTTATTTTGGCTCCATAGGGCCTTAGTTGCAGCACGTGGGATCCTCTGCAGTGGCACGTGGGCCACTCCCGAGTGTGGTGCACAGACTGGAGTGCACAGGCTCAGTAGGTGCAGGTGGTCGGGCCCAGCTGCCCCACGGCGTGTGCAGTCTTAATTCCCTGACAAGGATTCAACCCATGTGCCCTGCAATGCAAGGCAGATTCTTAACCACTGGGGAAGTCCCTGCATTTTTAGTATGATAATCATTTATTATAATTGCTATCATTATTTTTGTGGTGATGAAGAAGATTCTTTGATGCTCTTTATGTATATGATATTTGTTTTTTGGCCATGCTGTCCAGCTTTCGGGATTTTGGTTCCCCCATCAGGGACTGAACATGTGCCCTTGGCAGCAAAAGCTTGGAGTCCTAACCACAGGATTTCCATGAATACTGTGAAGCTTTTTAAATGCTGTGGTTCAAAGACACTAATTAGTTAGTGTGTGACTTGGAGCTAATACTCATTTGGATTATAGTTAGCTATGAGATGGTCCTTGCTCAAGTAGCCAAGAAGTAACTACACACATTTTTGAGACCAGTGACTGGAGGGTGGCACAGTGTGTAGCTTGTGATATAAAAGGTAGCATCTTAAAGGTCTTTAATTTTATCAAGCTTTAGACTCCGGGGAAAAACTGGTACAGATTTTTAAACCTTGAATTTTATTTTAAATTGTTTTTAAAAATGAGTATAAATGAGTATAGAACCTTCAAACTAAAACCAATGATATTCTTCCAGCTCTACTAGTCTCAGTGGGTATAAATATTAGGAATCTTGCTTTTCACAGTATGATTTTAAGTGGAAATTTCAAGAAAAAAATTGTAGTTGGTTGGAAAATATTTACAAGCAAACACAATCAGTGCTATTTTTCCTGTTTCTTAGATTTCTGCTCCTAATGAATTTGATGTTATGTTCAAACTGGAGGTTCCCCGAATTCAGCTGGAAGAATATTGCAACAGTAGTGCTCATTGCTTTGTGAAATTCAAAAGAAATCCCAAAGGAAGTCCTCTGGATCAGTTCTTAGAAGGGGGAATCTTATCGGCTTCTAAGATGCTGTCCAGGTTTAGGAAAATCATTAATGAAGAAATTAAAAATATTGAAGGTAAGATCTTTGACTTTTGATTCTTTAAGGTCTAATCATACCTATTAATTTTCTCTCCTGATCTTTTTTGATTTCCCTGCAGCAGACTGTTGACTGCATGCATACCAAGTCATTTCAGTCGTGTCTGACTCTTTGAGACCCTACAGAAACTGTAACCCACCAGGCTCCTCTGTCCATGGGATTCTTCAGGCAAGAATACTGGAGTAGGTTGCCATGACCTCCTCCAGGGGATCTTCCTGACCCAGGGATTGACCCCGTGTCTCTTATGTCTCCTGCATTGGCAGGCGCGTTCTTCACCACTAGCACCACCTGCGAAGCCCAGACTACCTTCTAGAAACAAGCTTTTGCTCTTAATTTTAGTCTACTACATTTTCTTGGTATTCATACTAAATGTTGATTGACTCTATTTTGTTTTTGTTTCTTTCAGCCACACCATGTGGCCCTGTAGGATCTTAGTTCCCTGATCAGGGATTGAACCTGGGCTCCTGGTGGTGAAAGCACAGAGTCCTAGCCACTGAACCACCAGAGACTTTCCAGTTGGCTCTATTTTGATCTTCACTGAATATTTGCTGACATGCTGCCTGTACCCTTGGGTGTAGGTAGTTGAATAAAATCAATGGGACTCCCCTCCTGAACTTGTAAAAACAAATACAGTGTGTGTTTTGAAGGGAATGAAATGGGAGATGTGGTAGCAGCTGGGATAGAGTGGGTGGTGGAGTAAAGCCCTGTGGCAGAAAAGAGCTTGATAAGCTCAAGGAACAAAAAGAGGGCCATGTGGACGAGGGAAAGAGTAACATGAAGTAAAAGTGGCTAGGGGCCAGATTCTAGGAGGACTTGTAGATCCTGGAAAGGAGTTCAGATTTCATGCCATGTTCTATTGAGAATCTAGGTCTTAGAGGGTAATGATTGATTCTCTTGTGGCTCAGCTGGTAAAGAATCTGCCTGCAATGCGGGAGACCTGGGTTGGGAAGATCCCCTGGAGAAGGGAAATGCTACCTACTTCAGTATTCTGGCCTAGAGAATTGCATGGACTGCATAGTACATGGGGTCACAAGAGTTGGACACGACTGAGTGACTTTCATTCATTAATGATTGATTGACTTCATACTTTAAAAAATTTGCTCTGACTTCTGCGGAGAAGATAGTTTAAGAAGGCAGTTGAGAGTTTGGCTTTGGATATAAGTTAGAGAATCCTATGGTGAAAAAGTATAGTAAAGTAAGAGGGTTCAGGCATGCTGGGGGATGGCCTGGGGGAAAATTGCAGTATTAAGCAGAGTGGTAAGAAGAGGATCTCATTAGGGGCTGGAGAGAAGAGAGGGAGCAAAAGGAGACTCTGAGTGTTCTGTAGGAGTGGTCGGTGTTTACAGTGCACTAACATCCAGATCATGTTTGGACTTGGTCTTCAGTTTGTTTTGTGGGGGTTGTTGGTAAGTTTGACTCAGAAGTTTCAGTGGAGTCCTCAGCACATGAGAGAGAAGGGCCGGGATGCTGTAGAGACAGCATTATGGTAAATCTTTTGAAAGTGTTGGCTGCAAAGGAAGTAGATAGATGGGTAAGTGGGGAGGCAGCATAGATGCAGAGTCAACGGAGCGTGTCCTTTAGGATGAGAGACACTGGATCCCTTTGTGTGAAGACAGGAATGATCAGGTAGGCGGGGAGGCCACCGATGCAGGAGAGGGAGCGATGAAGAAGTGAGGTAAGAAGGAAGGGATCCAGAGATCATGTGCGGAGGGGCCTCTGAAAGATGGCTGGACGCTCCTAGGTGGTAATAGGACTAAAGGAGAAGTAATGGGTAAGAAGGGGGTGGGTTTCTGGATTTAGTGACAAAGAAAATGAGGGCATGCTCTGGGGTTTTCTCCTTGGAGATATGTCCTCTCTCCCATTGTGGTCCTTTCCGAAAGTCTTAATCTGGGAGAGGTCTTTCACTACTGCTTGTACACCCTGCCCCCAAAGCCAGCATCTCTCCTCTAGAAGCCTTTCCCAAATTTCTGGCCAGTGGCCATCTCCAGCTGGGTGTCCCACATGCACCTAGAACTCAGTGTAGATGAAATGAAGTTTATCTCAGTCTGGTCTGTCTTCCTTCTGCCAACCCTGTGTTGAACAGTAGACTCAGCATCAACCATTTCCCATTTCCCAGGTCATGGGATGGCCTCCCCAACTCCTGCCTTCTCCCTCACCTCACAGATTCAGTCTTATCTACCAGTTCTACTAATTTAAACCTGCTTTCACTTCCGCTACTTGGGTTTTTTTTTTTAAATAAAAATTGTCCATAATCAAGGTGTATAGCGTGATGTTTTGATACACATAGTGAACTGGTTAGCACAGTCAAGCTAATTAGCATCTTCTGAGAGAGTTGCCTTTTTTGTGTGTGAAGTGAGAGTATCTGAAATCTACTCTCTTGGCACATTGTCCGTAACAGTACAGTTGTATTAATAGTCATCATGCTGTATGTTGGATCTCTAGACTTACTCGCCCTACGTAACTGCAGCTGTACTCTTTGATGAACATCTTCCCGTTTCCCCCACCTGCCCACCACCGGTAACCACTGTTCCACAGTCTGCTGCTATGTATTTGACGTCTTTAGATTCCTTGTATAAATGAGGTCATGCGTTTTGCTTAGCACAGTGACTCCCGCTGCTGACGGGACCTCCGCAGGAGGGACTCAGACACAGCTCTGCCTCAGTCTCGGTGGGGCCTCTGGGTCCTGGTGCGCACAAGGTTTGTTTGAGCCCTCCGAGTGTCTCTGGCAGGCATGGGGTTTGATTCTAAATGTGATTTTGTCCCTCCTGCTGTCTTGCTGGGGCTTCTCCCCTGTCCTCGGATGTGGGGTATCTCCTCAAAGACACTCCAGCGCCACTCAGCCACCGCATTGGGAGCGAGGCATCTTAGCTACTGGACCTCCAGGGCTGTCCCCAAGGGTCTTCTGAGTGGCACACATATTCCCTGAGATGGAGGGGTCATGCCCAAACCTGGAAAGCAAGACAGGGCTGAGTGACAGCTGAGTTACCTGCTCCCACAGGCAGGGTTCTGATGGAGGCATGGCACACACTGACACATGAGAAGTGCTCAGATGGCCTGCCCAGGACGCTGAGACTGGATAGGAATGGGGGGTTCCTGTCTCTTGCCCCGCTCTGCCCCTTTCTTGGGAGGGGACCCCAGCAAGGCTGGTGGAGCTCTGTCCCTGGGCTCTAGCTCCCTCTCCCTCTGTGTCACTGGCTGGGCAAGGGTCCATCTTCCCCAAAGGTCTCCTTGTATCTGGTTTACTCTGCTCCCTCTTCCTTTCTTTCCTTTCACACTTTCTTCATCATAATCCCTTTAAGCCCCTGAGGCCTCAAGCCTAGACCTTCTCAGCCTCTCTTAAATGTTCAGGATGGATTTAGTAAAGGCAGAGGAACCAGAAATCAAATTGCCAACATCTGCTGGATCATCGAAAAAGCAAGAGTTCCAGAAAAACATCTTCATTGACTATGCCAAAGCCTTTCACTGTGTGGATCACAACAAACTGTGGAGAATTCTTCAAGAGATGGGAATACCAAACCACCTGACCTGCTTCCTGAGAAATCTGTGCAGGTCAAGAAGCAACAGTTAGAACTGGACATAGAACAACAGACTGGTTCTGAATTGGGAAAGGAGTAAGTCAAGGCTGTATATTGTCACCCTGCTTGTTTAACTTATATGCAGAGTACATCATGAGAAATGCTGGACTGGATAAAGCACAAGCTGGAATCAAGATTGCTGGGAGAAATATCAATAACCTCAGATATGCAGATGACATCACACTTATGGCAGAAAGTGAAGAAGAACTAAAGAGCCTCTTGATGAAGGTGAAAAAGGAGAGTGAAAAAGTTGGCTTAAAACTCAACATTCAGAAAATGTAAGATCATGGCATCTGGTCCCATCACTTCATGGCAAATAGATGGGGAAACAGTGGAAACAGTGACAGACTTTATTTTTGGGGTCTCCAAAATCACTGCAGATAGTGACTGCCACCATGAAATTAAAAGACGCTTGCTCCTTGGAAGAAAAGCTATGACAAACCTAGACAGCATATTAAAAAGCAGAGACATTACTTTGCCAACAAAGGTCCATCTGGTCAAAGCTATGGTTTTTCCAGTAGTCATGTATGGATGTGAGAGTTGGACTATAAAGAAAGCGGAGCATTGAAGAATTGATGCTTTTGAACTGTGGTATTGGAGAAGACTTTTGAGAGCCCCTTGGACGGCAAGGAGATCCAACCAGACCATCCTAAAGGAAATCAGTCCTGATTGGAAGGACTGATACTGAAGCTGAATACTTTGGCCACCTAATGCAAAGAACTGAGGCATTTGAAAAGACCCTGATGCTGGGAAAGATTGAAGGCGGGAGAAGGGGACGATAGAGGATGAGATGGTTGGATGGCATCATTGACTCCATGGACATGAGTTTGAGGAAGCTCCAGGAGTTGGTGTGGACAGGGAGGCCTGGCGTGCTGCAGTCCATGAGGTCACAAAGAGTTGGACAAGACTGAGCAACTGAACTGAATTGAATGTCTTCCACATTCATCCACATTGTTACAAATGGCAGGATTTTCTTCCTTGTTAAGGCTGAATAATATTCCATTGTCTGTATATGCCACAGTCTCTTTACTTATTCATCTGTCAGTGGATTGTCTCCCTATCTTGGCTGTTGTGAATAACGCTACAGTGAATGACAGTTGCTCCCTGTGTCTTAATGCTCACTGTCTCTCTGTACGACAGGCATCTGTCCTCTGAGTTAGTTTGTTGCTGTGGTCTTTTTCTTTTTTTTTAATTTGGCTGCACGACATGGCTTGTAGGATCTTAGTTCCCAGACCAAGGTTTGAGCTCCCAACCTTGGCAGCAGTAGTTCAGAGTCCTAACCACTGGACTGCTAGGGACTTCCTGCTGAGGTCTTCTTAATCACATCTCTTCTCCGTGCTGCTCATCCGGCCTCATATGCAGGCCTCCCTCCAGCTGCCAAACACAAATTGAAATGAAAATTTAATCACAGAACTCCCAGATCCCACATACCCCCACCGCATGAGGGGTATCAATAAATACTGGCTAAATGAGTAAAACACTGCCTTGTGGGGTCATTTTCTTCTTTAGAACTAATTTTTTGTCTCACAGTTAGTATTTACAGATCTCCAATTATAGTTATTTTTCCTGTGTTGTCAGAGGAAAATGGATTGATGAGCCCTGTCTTCCTTATTCTATCTTTAAACAGATACTGATGTCATTATGCAGAAGAAGAAGAGAGGGAGCCCTGCAGTAACACTCCTGATTAGAAAGCCTCGAGAGATATCTGTGGATGTAATCCTGGCTTTGGAGTGCAGAAGCAGCTGGCCTGCTAGCACCCAGAGGGGCCTGCCCATCAATAACTGGCTTGGAGGGAAGGTTAAGAGCAGTCTAAAACGCCAGCCATTTTACCTGGTACCCAAGCTTGCAAAGGAGGGAAGTCGTTTCCAAGGTATCTTCATTATGAAGCTTTATGGAAAGACATCCATAGATAAGAGAGTCATTAATGCTGCATCCTAGGGCAGTGAAGGATCTACTGGTGCTGTTGGCATTTCAAAACCCATTGGCTAAGACGGGAGTTTGGTGAGAGATGGAATTACAAAGGGCATAATAGTAATAGTAATATCGAATACTCAGCTTTAAAATGTTTACTAGCCCGCATTTGAATGTTGTTTTTGTTTGTTTCTTGCTAGTAAAGAAAAGCAGTACTGGCCCTGCAATCTGACTGCCTTAGATTTGAATCCTGAGGCTTCTTCCCTCATTAGGTGTGTGATCTGGAGCTGGTTATCAAGCCCCTCTAAACCTGTTTTAGTCATCTGCATATGTGGGGTAGTCAAAACGACTTGAAAGATTCTAGGAAGATAAAAATGATGCAGTGCTACTTGCAGAATCCCTAGTTGAGTTAATGGCAGCCGTGTATTGCTGATGTCACCAGAGCCTTGGCTGTCACTCTGCCCTTGTTTCTGTCTTTCCTCACCTCCTTCCACTGCGCCCCATGCCCCTGGCAGAGCTTTCTTGCAGCCTCAGCTGCAGTTTTGCCCACTGATTGGGTCTCCTCACCCGTGTACCCCGGCCTCCTGGGTCAGGACAGGTTTTCAGGTGTTGCTCTTGGGTAACATTCAAGTTGTGAAGACTGGGCTGAGATAGTCTACAGGTGGAACTGAATAATGGTGATATCTTCTGAGGTAGAAAAAAAATTCACCGATTATTTTCTTTTTCTCTCATAAATTAAGGACTTTTGGCACCTACTACTGCTGGACTCCAAGGAAATTGGAGGAGATCAGATAACAAATGAACCCAGGTTATAAATGAGTATTGCTGAACATATCTGAGAAATTGTCCATCATGCTTAGTTTGATGGCTTGTTTTGTGGACACACATCATAACTTTAGATTGCATATATATAGGAGTCATTTTCTGTAAGAAAAGTTGTTTTTAAGAAGGAATTATATGCATCATTATGATTTTATAAAAGGAATATAACTTTTCTGGAGAAGGGTGTACAGTTTGTAGAAGGGCTGTCCCAAGAAACCCTCATTGCATGTGATACAGAAATCTCACCAGGACCCATACTGCTCTTTTTGTGGCTCTTGGCCAACTACCTTGGGGATGACTAGGATGACTAGGAGAACCATCAGCCTAGAGATGAGGAAGCATCCTTCAGTGGCCATGGGGCTATACAAAGGCCAGTGTGGTTGGATAGTTCCTCATATAAGTTCCTAAGATAAAAGTGGAGGCTGTCAGGCACTCAGCTGACCTCTGCTCTGGTACCCTTGGCTGGTCTCCATCTCTCCTCATTTCAGATTATTCATATTTAGGCAAAACCCTGTGGCTATGTCTGTGTGTATGTGTATATCTGAGTGGCTAAGAGGGGCAATGAAAATAACTTGTACTATCAATAGATAGGCATGTATTACACCTATTTTAGCTTTTTCCTTTTCAAATGTCTTATTAAAAATCTCCTGGTCACAAGGTATATTTTAAAAAATATACTTTGTTTGATTTTTGATAAAAAATTTCAATATGTTTTTGAATCAAAATAATATGATTTTGATACTATCAAAAAATGAAAAAAAATTGATGTTATCAAAATAATAATACAGGTGGTGTCACCAAGAGTATAATTATTTTTTAAAAGTATAAACTTTATTATTTGCAGTTCTTTTTGTTCTTAAGATAAAAAGACAGTCAAAGTAGTAAGTTTTTTTTTGACCTTAAGACTTGAAACATATAGTTTTTATTATACTAAAATGTACAAACATTAAAATAAAAATTCCTTCAAACTGGTAATCATCCATAGTTGACTTTATCTAACAAAAGAGATTGAATATCAACTCAGTACAAGTATCATGACATATAAAATAAAACTAGAAGATATTTCTTTGCATTAAAGACCATTTCAGAATGATACTTAGTAAGCAGGGCAAGGACTATACATTCCATCACATTTATCAGTACCTCATGTCAAGGCATGCAATGTGATGAATGCTAAAATAGAAAAAAACCAGTAAAACTGCAGTGTTCTCAAATATCTAAATTGTCTGCCCTGCATTTTAAATTCATTTGAAATTTATTCATCAATTTCAGTTCTGATATTCCAATCAATGAACGTGAAAAGCTTTATTTAAAAAGAATAATCCATACACTGTTGATAGAAGTGTTAAATGGTGCAATCACTTTGAGAAACAGTCTGGCAGTTTCTTATAAAGTAAAACATATGTCTTCCCTAATCCAACATGAAGTGCATAACACATTTATACAAGAATATACGTAATAGCCAAAATCTGCAAATAGCCCAGAAGTCCATCAAAAGATAATAGATATACAAACTGTGGTATATTTATAAACTAGAATACTACTCAGCAACAAAAATCAATGAACTACTGATAAAAGAGGATCTTAAAAACATTAAGACAGGTGGAAGAAAACAGAAACAAAGGGTCTATACTGTATAATCTCAAGTTATACTAAGTTTAAGAACAGGCGAAATTTATCTACGGTTTTTAATTAGAACATTGGTTGCCTGAGGTGACTGAGGATTGATTAGGCAGGGGCACAAGAGAACTTTCTGGAGTGATGATAACTTTTTAACTCCAGATACAGCTTAAATTACGCAGGTGTAGTCATTTGTCAAAACTCATCAAATGCAACATTGAAGATTTGTGTGTTTCACTGTTTGCAAATCTTACCTTAAGTATCAAACACACACAAATAAATACTGAACTCTGTAATACTCATGCTGAAATGTTTATGGGTAAAGTATTCTAACTAATTCCACAACTTGTTTTGAAACCACATTTTTCTCGAGCGTCCCTGGTAGTGCAGTGGTTAAGAATCCACCTGCCTGTGCAGGGGTCATGGGTTTGATCCCTGGTCCGACAAGATCCCACATGCTGCAGGGCAGCTAAGCCCGGGCACCACAACTCCTGAGTCTTAAGCTCTAAGACCCGGAGCAGCAAGTACTGAGCTCATATTCTGCAGCCACTGATGCTTGGTGGGTTAAGCTAACCAACTCAGCATGCTTAAAATTCATTTTCATCATTGTTTCTAACTTTAGTTATTGGATTTTAAATGTTTAGTTTTATTTTTTAAATTTATGAAGCATTCATATGGTCCCAAAGTCAAAGCTACAGAGAAAAGTATTCTTAGGGAAACACAGCTTCTTCCCTTTATGTTTTCTCTACCCTCTTCTCTTCTTTCCTGATTGGAAATCCATTAATTGTTTTGGGTTTACCTTTCATTTTTAAAAAGTACAAGTATTTTGTGTGTATATATATGCATATATATATAATTTTTTTATATGCAACCCCCTTTTTAAGATAATGAGTACAATTTTTCTATTTTTACTTAAGATATCTTGGCTATCACTCCATAGCTCTGTATAGAGATAGCACTCATTCCTTGTTTTTTTTAAATACTTCCATGTATTTATTGTCTTTTGGCTGTGCTGGGTCTTCATTGCTCCTTTGCCTTTTCTCTAGCTGTGGTGCGCAGACTTCTCGTTGCGGCAGCTTCTCTTGTGGGGCTTGGGCTTCCGTGGTTGCGGCCACAGTTGTGGCTCCCCGGCTCTAGGGCACAGGCTGTATAGCTGTGGTGCACAGGCTTAGTTTCTCCATGGCCTGTGAGATCTTCCCAGATGAGGGACTGAACCTGTGTCTCCTGCTGATCCTCCGTTGCCAGGCTGATTCTTTATCACTGAGCCACCAGGGAAGCCCAGCACTCATTCCTTTTTTTAACAAAAATTTTAACAACATTTTTATACTCTTTTTAAAGGTTACTTTCTATTTAGAATTACTACAAAATATTATCTATGTATTTCCTGTGTTGTATGATGATACATCCTTGTAGTCTTATCTCATGCCCAGGAGTTTGTCCCTCCCACTTCCCCACCCCTGTAGTGTCCCCTCCACTGGTAACCACTCGTTTGTTCTATCTGTGAGTCTCCTTATTCTTTGTTATATTCACTAGTTTATTTTTTTAGATTTATAAATCATGTCATATAGTGTTTTTGTCTTTCTCTGTTTTATTTCATTTAGCATGATGCCCTTCAAGTCTATCCATGTTGCTGCAGATGGCAAAATTTCATTCTTTTTTTTAATGACTGAGTAGTATTCCACTGTATATATACCACAGCTGCTTTATCCATTCATCTGTTGATGGACACTTAGGTTACTTTCATATCTTGGCAATTGTGAATGATGTGGCTGTGAACATTGAGGTGTGTGTACCTTTTCAAATTAGTGGGGTTTTTTTGAGCACCCATTCCTTTTTACAGTCTATTTTTGCAGTTTGTCAAGGAATAGTAAATCCATATCTAATTTTGCTCATATTGCCAAAGTCACCTCTATACAGAATTTCCCAATTTGCATTCCCAACAGCTGTGTGTATGAGAGTGCCCATTTCACCCTCAACTTCATCAACAGAACTCATTAAATTTTGGAATGTTTGCCAATAACTCAAAAAGGGAGAAATGATACCTCAATGTAGTTATTTAAAATAAACTTTTAATTTTAGAATAGTTTAAGATTTGCCAAAACAAGTACAAAGATAGTATAGAGAGTTCCTATATACCACGTAACCAATTTTCCATTTTAGCATCTTACATTAATATGACGCATCTGTCACATTTAGTGAACCAGTATGAATGTGGTCCTGTTACTCAGACTTCCTTAGTTTTTGCCTGACGTCCTCCTCCTGTTCCAGGAGCCCGTGTGGGATGCTACGTTCCACGCAGTCATCGTGTCTCCTCACTCTCCTCTCGACTGTGACCGCGCCTCAGTCCTTCCTTGTTGTTGGTGACCCTCACAGTTTTGAAGAGTACCAGTCAGATGCTTTGTGTTACAGCCCTCATTTGGCGTGTGGCTTATGTTTTTCTTGTGATTAGATTGCAGTTCTGGGTTTGGGGGAGGAGGACTGCAGAAATGAAGTGCCGTTCTTATAACATTGCGTCAGCGGTTCATCGTGGGCCTGACTTGGCTCTGCTGGTGTGGACCTTAGTCTCCTGGGTCAGGGAGTGTTTTCCAGGTTTCCTCCCTGTTAAGATCTTCTCTTTCCCCCTTTTCGTACTGTGCGTTTTGGAAGGAAGTCACTGTGCACAGCTCACACTTAAGCTCACCTCTTTAAGAGCAGAGTGTTTACACAAATTATTCAGAATTCTTCTGCATGGGAGGTTTATCTCTTCTCTCTAATCTATTTACTTAAATCATATCTGTATGGACTCACGGATATTTGTCTCGTATTTTGGGCTATAATTCAATACTGCTTTCATTTTGTTGCCTAAATTGTTCTAGCTTTGGTCTTCAGGAGCTCTTGCAGTTGGCTCCTGTATCCTTTTGACATATGTCCCATAATTGTGGGTTTTTTTATTTTCAGCACTAACTCACTTTCTGGCACTACAGGATGCTCCAGGCTCATCTTGTGTAGTTCCTGTTTCAGTCCTAGAATCAGCCATTTCTCCAAGGAACTCTCTGGATCCTTTTATTGAAGAGTGTGTCCTAGAACCATGATCTGTTTGCTGTGTGTGTTCTGCTAGGGTATCATCCCTTTCAGCTGGAGGAGCAAGGAAATATGTGTATGTACACTATCTCCAGGATATGCACAGCTCACCACCTGTATCTGTATCAAGTGGTACATGAGTTCATACTGATGTCTCTAACTGGAATCCATTGCCACATGGATCATCCTACCTTCCCTCCTTGCTATCTGTAACCTTTCATGCCAACAGTGAGAAGCTTGGCTCCCACCATCTGCCATCCGCCTGGTCCATCGTGCCTTGCTCAGTTCTAGCCCACATGTATGGACGCTTCAGAATTGCAAACCCACTCCCCTGCGTGCACAGTGCACATGTACAGTTCCTTTAGCCTTCAGTCTTAAAGACCGCGTTTCCAAAGTAACTCCGGTCAACACCTTTTGCCCCCACCCCCTTCAGGGAGGTTGTGTCATATGTTTGTGATACAGTTAGAGCCCCATTTCACAGTCTGCAATCCTTCCTGAGATCCTTTGACCATCTAAATGACTTTTTAACAGTTTGTGTACGTTAAGGTTCCCTCTTCATGCCATGAAGTCCTATTGGTTTTGACAAATGCATTGCATCGTTATCTGTAATTAAATAATAGTTTCACTTCCCTAAAAAGTCCCTCTACTTACTCCACCTTCCCCATCCCAAATCTCTTGAGCCACTGACCTGTTCACCATCTCTGCAGAGTTTGCCTTTTCCAGAATAGCATGAATGGATTGTTGTAAATGGATTTATATAGCAGCAGTGAGCACAACTCTCTCTGTGCCACCTTTTCCATATATTTATTATCTGTATATTATGTACCTATTACATGCTTTATCTCCCCAAAATCTCTGTCTGTCCATGGGCTATATACCATTATGTCATACATGTCACTAGTCTTCGATATTTGCTTTCCCACTCTGTCCTTCTTCAACAGTGTTTTAGATATTCTTGACCCTTTGTTATTTTTATAAAGATGTTGGCATTGTCAAGTTCCACAAACACTTCTTTTTGGAGTTTTGATTGTGAGAGCATTGAATCTGCAGACGAATGTGGGGAGATGTGACCTGTTTATGATAGTGCGTCTTTAATTCATGTGCAGGTACACATGTCTCTCTATCTGGATTGCCTCTAATACTTTTCAGTGAAGTTTTAGAATTGTCTCCACAGAAATTTTGTGTATCTTTTATCAGATTTACTCATATGCAGTTGTAACATTATGAAAAACTAAAACAACAGAAAAGTAGACTGAAGAATATATGGAACTCATGCATACCTGTCATTCTGTTTCTTTTGTATTTTCTGTATACATGATTACATCATCAGTAATGATGGCTTTGTTTTTCTCTTTCCAGTGCTATCACCCTATCTTTCCTTCTCTTACTGTGCTTGCTACGATAGCCATTGCACGTCAAACAATGAGGATAGCAGCCTGCCTTCCTGTTTTCAAAGAAAAAACTTCAACTTTTTAATGTTAGATTATCATATTGCTATCATCAGATCAAGGTTCCATCTGCATTTAAATTCCTGAAAGGTGTTTTCTTTTAACGATGAATGAATGTTAAATTTTATTTGCTGCATTTTCTGCTTCTGTTGAGTTGGTCATATGTTTCTCCCCTGTTCTGTTAATGTGACAGGTTGTGTTGCTTGATTTTTAAAATGAAAAACCAATTCCTGGTATTAAAACTCAACAGTGGTAGGATGGGTCAGAGCTACCCATGGTAAAACTTGGGGAGATGGGGGAAAATCATTCTATTCTTACATAAACTTCCAAAAACAGAAAAAAAGGAAACGTTCCCTGATTCATTTTGCATAAATACTAAAACTTTGCAAGGATAGTGTAAAAGAATAAACAAAAAATTTCAATCAATGCAAATTATTATAGAGACAAAACATCAGCAAACAGAATTTAGCAACACATAAAAAGCAATAGGACTTATAGCTCACTATATTAAGCTCTGACTTCTTCCTCTAATTGTTCTCTATCTTGGTCCATTATTTGCTTGGTCAAGTCACTTGTTTTAATATGTAATCACATTATTTATCCATTCACTTCTTTTGGTCTATCTCCCCCTAGAAAATTTTTCAGAATTATATTTTAATGAAGAAAATCACTTAAATATTTGTTGTTTGTAAACGGATGTTTTTGGTAAAGTGCTTTTCTGTTTTTCTTTTGGATATTAAGAAGAAACATGGCGGCTGTCCTTCTCTCACATTGAAAAGGCCATTTTGAAAAATCACGGACAATCTAAAACATGCTGTGAAATTGATGGAGTAAAATGTTGCAGGTAACCTCCTTATTTTGTAAATGACGGACATACCAATAGAATGCTTCGTTCTTTGCTGACTCCACAGTTGAAACCTGAAGATTACCATTGCTGGGTTGAGTTCTGGGGGCGGTGCATGGCTGGATTGAGCAGGGGTATTGGAGTGTAAGCATGAAACCAAGGACGCCAGGTCCAAGGGACTAAGGAAAGAGTGTTGTTAGAAGGCAATGCTGGGACCTCCCTGGTGGTCCAGTGGGTTAGGCCTCAGCTTCCAGTGCAGAGGATGTGGGTTTGATCCTGGTCGGGAAGCTAAGATCCCACGTGCCTTGAGGCACAAAAACTAAAACATAAAACAGAAGCAGCATTGTAACAAACTTGATAAAGACTTTTAAAATGGTCCACATTAAAAAAAGTTTTAAAAAAAGGGACTGCTGGGGAGCATGGACCTGAGCCGCGATGCTGTGGACGTCTGAGAGGAGGAAAGAGTGGAGGGTGTGAATACTAGTCATGACTAGCCATGACAGCTGGATTTGCCTTAGTGTTCTGGTTGGTTCAAGGCAATGAATAACAACGTTGCATAATGGGAAGAGACCAAAGGACCACTCTTATTGGATGCTGGTGCTTGCTTTGAGATGGTTTAGCTATGAGGAAGGCCAGGGAATGACAAACCAGATTTGAAACAACACTAAGATGTGGGTAATTATTTTTCTTGATTAGCATACATACCATAAAGAACTGAGTTTTGAAAAGAATCATTCATTTCAGCTTCTAAAGTTGGGTTTTCCTGATAGCTCAGTTGGTAAAGAATCTGCTTGCAATGCAGGAGACCCCAGTTTGATTCCTGGGTTGGGAAGATCCGCTGGAGAAGGGACAGGCTACCCAATCTGGTATTCTTGGGCTTCCCTTGTGGATCAGCTGGTAAAGAATCTGCCTGCAATGCGGGAGACCTGGGTTCGATCCCTGGGTTGGGAAGATCCCCAAGGGCAGGGAAAGGCTACCCACTTCAGTATTCTGGCCTAGAGAATTCCATGGACTGAATATAGTCCATGGAGTTGCAAAGAGTTGGACACGACTGAGCGACTGTCATTTTCACTTTCAAAGCTGAATAGAATAAGGATCACAAGAGTTAAAAGGTTAAAGCAAGGATGCCCAGAGTGTGAACACAAGGGGGTTCTTTAAGGCTTCACATGCAGGCTTTGAAGCAACCATTAAGAAAAGTATATTGTTGATAAGGCTTAATAATTTTATAAACATTAAATTTTGTCAGCTACCAAAATAACTGAATGATTAATGTAAATCAAAATAAGACAATGATTTTATAAAAATTGAAACAAGATTTTTCTAAATACTCAGCTGGATGAATAATGTAAATATCTGCTAGTTTTCATGTAGTTGAATTAATCCTAATAGAATAAAATACTTAAGCTAGGAATGGGGAAGAGGGAAGGAGAAAATATGTTTTTGAAACTTTTAAAGTATGTATTTGAAAAAATAATTAGGTTTTAGAATGACTCAAATTAGATTATTTATACATATCTTTGGGCTTCCCTAGTAGCTCAGCAGTAAAGAATCCACTTGCAATGCAGATGTGGGTTCAGTCCCTGGGTTGGGAAGATCCGCTGGAGGAGGGCATGGCAACCCACTCCAGTATTCTTGCCTGGAGAATCCCATGGACAGAGGAGCCTAGTGGGCTACAGTAAATAGGGTCAGAAAGAGTCCTACAGGACTGAAGTGACTGAGCACGCACGCACACATACATACCTTTATTGTTTTTTGTGTCTTTATAAAAAATGTATTATATATCTGTATTGTTCATTACATCTTTGTATGTTTTTCCTGTAAGATGCCTAAAGTTCTTTGTGGAATGAAAAAGGTAAAGAAATAAAAATAAATGCTTCTCTTTTCTATTCAACAGGAAAGAGTGTTTAAAGCTGATGAAATACCTTTTAGAACAACTGAAAAAAAAGTTTGGAGACCAAAGGGGACTGGATAAGTTTTGTTCTTATCACGTGAAGACTGCCTTCTTTCACGTCTGTACCCAGAACCCACATGACAGTCAGTGGCACTACGAGGACCTGGAGCTCTGCTTTGATAACTGTGTGACGTACTTTCTTCAGTGCCTCAAGACAGAACGCCTTGAGAATTATTTCATTCCGGATGTCAATCTCTTCTCTCGAGACGAAATTAACAAGCTAAGTAAAGAATTTCTCTCAAAGCAGATTGAATATCAGCAAAACAATGGATTTCCAGTTTTTGATGAATTTTGAACCTTTATTTTTAAAAAGAATCCAAGAGTTAGAGTGACTTTATAATAATTGAAATGTACCACAACAGTGATTGACTAAAATGAATATAGTTATTCAGCCATCAGTTTGTCTTCATAAAGTCTAATCAATATAAAAGGATGGATTATTCTAGAAAAGAGATTATTTAATGGAAGCAAAGGAGTATTTAAGGGTTTCCCTGGTGGTCCAGTGGTTGAGAATCCACCTGTCAATGCAGAGGACACGAGTTTGATCTTCGCTCTGAGAAAATCCCACATGCCCTGGGGCAACTCACCCCGTGTCACAACTCCTGAGCCTGAGCCCTGGGGCCTGCAGGTCGCAGCTGCTGAGCCCGTGTGCTACAGTACCCCCTGGAGCCTGTGCTCCGCAACAGAGAAGTCGCTACAGCGAAAAGTCCTCCAACGACTCGAGAACAGCCCCCCCGCACCCCCCCCCCCCGCAACCAGAGAAAGCCCTCGTGCAGCAACGAAGACCCAGCCATAAATAAATAAGTAAATCTTTTAAAGACAGAGAAGTATTTAAAATATAAAAGCTTTCTCAGAGTGGGGCGAAAAGATGGACGAAATACAGATCACCTCAATTAAATTCATCAAGCACTTACTGAACAGCACTCCTCACCTAGCACAAGTGTGTGGAAGGTGGCAAGAGACAATGTTAGAAATGATCATTGCTTCCATGAACGGGTAGATTTTGTTGAACATACGAATATATTTGGAAGCAGTGTCCTGTCCTATGCGTTAGGATAGGTTAAGAAGGAAATGAAAAAATCGGTTCTGCATGTCTTGGGAAATTGATTATCTTTTATAGAAAAATATAGGATACTTTCCTACATGGCTAAATATAAAACATAACTTGTTTTCTTTTACTTTCAGTAATACTGTTCTATGTATTTCTGAAAAAGCAATAATATACATATGGTACAAAACTCAAAAGAGTATGAAAATGTTACCCTCTCTCCTCTGCACTCAGGAAGCATTCAACTGGAGGGAGCTGCTGCTTGTTAACTTTTTTCTATTCATGTATTTTGCACATTTTCTTATTGGCTGTTTTATTGTTTTCTCATTGTCATTTTATTTTGTTGTTATTCTCATGTAACGAATAACTTCTGTGTGGATTGTCTATATCATTTTTGTGTCTTAGTGAGTGAGGTTTTAAAATTTACTTCTTGAACTTGTCAGTCTTTATGCTTATGTGCAATTTTATCTATCTTGTTTAACAACCTAATGTGTTCAAACATACTAATCATTGGACATTTGGAGAAGAGTTTCAGTGATAAATAAATAGAAAATAGTATGATAAATAAATAGAAAATTGGGCAAACAAAAAATCCAAACTTAACTCCAGGAAAAATTGTGTGCAAGAAAAGAAAATTAATCATAGTCTAGTTTGAGAATATTTCTCAGCTGTATTTATGAAGTCAAAGTAATATTATAACTATTGGCTATTAATTTTATCAGAATTATGATTAGTTATATAGAGAAGATAGGATAACAGTCTGAGTGCTTATGTGTAACAATGATGGTAGAGAGAGTTGGGCTATATTAGTTTTCTACTGCTGCATTAAACTTACCATAAAATTAGTGGCTTAAACTATACACATTTATTATCTCACCGTTTCTCTGGGATAGGATTCTGGGATAGTTCTGCACAATATCTCACAACACTTCAATCAAGGTGTAAGTTGGGATTGCAGTCTTATCTGAGGCTTGACCAGAGAATTCAGTTTCTTACGGTTATAAGACTGAAGACTTCAGTTTCTTGCTGACTGTTGGCCAGAGATTGTCCTCAGCTGCTAGAAACTGCCTTCAGTTCCCTGCCATATGAATGGCCAGCATTGGCAGCCCTCAGCATGTCAGCAGTTCACTGCTAGCAAGGGAGGGAAAAACTCCAGCAAGAGCGTATAACAGTCTTATTTCACCTAACAGCAAACATGTAATCATATGTATCTCATGCCCTTTACTATATAATTGGTTGGAAGCAAGTCACTATTTCCACCCATATTCAAGGGGAGGGGAGTCACTGAAGAGTGTTATGTCAGTTTAAACAACCGTATAGTTAGGGGGAAGACAGTCCCCCTGAGACCACTCACTTCTGACACCAATTGCAGCTTGAGAGGTTCTCCAAATCATTCTTAGGTTTGATAAGTCACTGGGAAGATAGAACTCAACTGAAACCAGTATATTCATGGTTACAGTTTATTACAGGGTAAAGATACAGGTTTAAATTAGCCAAGGGAAAATGTCCAGGAGGGTACCAAACACTGAGGTTCTGTTCTTTTTTCCTTGGGAAGTCATGGGTATGTTTTATCTCTTGTCATTAGTGAATAACAATAAACACAAATACTGCCAATCAGGGAAGCTCACCTGAGTTGAGAGTTTTTTTATTGGACCTCAGTGATTGGCTTGATTTAATTCTTTGTTTTCAGTTTTGTCATCAGTTATCCTAGCTTTTGGGCTTACCAGATGGCTCAGTTGTAAAGAATCCACCTGCCAATGCAGGAGACACAGGTTCAATCCCTGGGCTGGGAAGATCCCCTGGAGGAGGAAATGGCAACCCTCTTCAGTATTGCCTGAAAAATCCCATGGGTAGAGGAGCTTGGTGGGCTCTAGTCTGTGGGGTCTCAGAGAGTTGGACACAACTGAGTAACACTTTCACATATGTATATGCATATGCCGGACACGACTGAGCGACTTTCACTTTCACATACATGTATAATTGTACTTATATGTACATACATTATGTGTTGCCAAAATATTTCAGAGTAATTTACACATATCACTATACTTCATCCCTAAGTAGATCAACACCCTTCTCCCAAAACCAGTAATTCCCTACCTTGTACTATTCTCATACTAACAATAATTATCTAACATTACCTGATACTCATTTCTCCAACTCTCAAGATCTGAGAACTTAAAGGCAGAAGTCCTATCCATAAGTGATACAGAAGATATTTCCTTAAAGTTTAATAAATGTTATTGATAAATTATGGTTGATAATTGTTGGATATAATGAAAAATGTTCCAGTCTGTCACAGCACAGCACAAAGCACATCCTAGCTTTACGTGAGCTGAAGAGTTTTCATCTTTTGTGGTATGCCAGATTTACCCTCTTGAAAGCCCTTGATTACTTTTCCTGTTTCTTCTGTTTTATCTATTCAACTTAACTACCAGCTTAAATTTGCTCATTTAGGAAGATATAGTCACACTTGTGAATTCATATTTGACATAGAGTGTTCCAGTGGTTAGGAGTTCGCCTTGCAATACAGGGCACATGGGTTAGACCCCTGAATTGGGAAGATTCCACATGCTTGGGGGGGACTAAGCCCCTGCGCCACAGCCACTGAGAGCGCAGGCCACGCCTACTGAAGCCCGCGCAGCCTGGAGTCCATCTCTGCAACAAGAGAAGCCACTGCTAAGTCCGCCCGCCCCAACTAGAGAAAACAGGTATACCAAGGAAGACTCTGTGCACACAGGAATAAAAGGAGGCTGTCGCTTCTCACAGAACTCGTGTTTTCTAATTTGTTAATTTCTACGTTTACTTTCCTTTTCTCTCCAATCTGCCAATCAGTAATAGAAGGAAACTTACTGCATAAATAAGTAATACAAGATTAGGTAATGAGGGCCTAACTAATTATACACAAATATAAATACTAAATATTAATATTAGTAATTACCATATAGGGAATAGAAAACTACACAAAACTAGGGGAAAGTGAGGGAACATGATCAGTCATACGTTTTCATGGAAATGAATTTATCCAGGGTTTATTCTAGCATGGGGTGCTAGTCGAAAATGTAAGAAACAGCTGTTGCATATTTTGGTCCATGAAATCCTTTCACTGTTTCATCTCAAAGTAGGTTAAGTATTAAAGTACTAAATACTATTTGGTAAATATAAAAGGCTATTGAGAAAGATCAGGTTGTTTCTTTTGTAAAAAAATTTATTGTGTTAACAGCTTTTTCACTGCTTTGACAACACTGAAAAAGCTTTTAACTCTTTAAAGACTGCTATTGAGAAAGATCAGCTTGTTTCTTTTATCATAGAAAAAAAATTTATTGTGTTAGCTTCTTTTTCACTGCTTTGACAACATTGAAGAAGCTTTAAACTCTTTAAAGACTGACCTTAACATAGCAATATTATAGCAGATAAAATTTACTTTTCTTTAAATATAGTAAAACCCTAGGTAAAAAATGTATATACTCCTTAAGTAAAAAATGCTATAGTCCTTAAGATCCACACAGGAAATTTCAACTCAAATTTAAGTACTTGGGGTTTTATAAAAACATAAAATACTGAATTCTACATTTTTAAACACTGTTGTTTTAAGAATCAGTCAAGTCTCTTCATACTGCCATCATGAATCCAGTACTTCCATATATTATTTAAATTTCTCCAAGAAAATTTGAGAAATGTAAAAAAAAAAACCAACCCATAAATTGATGTTCCCAAGTCCTTTAAAAAAGTTTAATTGTGATAACAAAGTTTACCGTTCTAACCATTTCCAAGTGTATAGTCCAGTAGTGTGAAGTAGCAGCTATCCTAACTGAGGTGTGGTGATCTTTAATTTGCATTTCCCTAGTGATAAGTGAACATCTTTTCACTTGTTAAGCCATGTGTATGTCTTCAGGAAATGTCATTCAAGTCCTTTGCAAATTTATTATTTTTTATTGTTTTAATTGAAGTAGTTGATTTACTATGCTGTGCCAACCTCTGCTGTACAGTATCTGCACATTTTAAAATCAGGTTGTTTTTGTTCAGTTTTAGTTCTTCATGTTGTTGGTATTAATCCCTTGGTGCTATATGATTTGCAAAAGTATTTTCCCCACAGTTTGTTCATATGGCCCCCTACTGGGCATTTATGTTATAGTCTTCCTGCTGCAAATACTGCTGTAATGTGTAAATCTCTACTTGCATATGCAGAGATATTTATAGATTACATTCCTAGAAAGGGAATTGCTGGATCAAAAGGTGTATGCACT